AACATTGAAACCAAGAATAGCTTCCGGCTCAGCCGACTCCCTGTATTGACATCGCAAACAGGAAGCGCCCTTCGCCCATCCTTGGGCCAATCTAAACAGATAACTAAATATGCCCTTGTATGTATACATACCAACGAAATTGTCTTGATATTACGATCACCCTATCCCTCCAGGGACCTTATTATGGGGTCCTTAAGGGGTCTAGGGCCCTAACTATGAGGTCCTTGGAGGGATAGGGTCAGAGTTTTGCATTCTTACGAACATTCGGGCTCTCAGCCTTCGCAATTTTGCCGAGGTGCTGAAGACAGCGCCGTCGTCTGCGGGGTGGATCAGGCAAAGCACCACAGGACGCCTGAATTTTCAGGTTTAGGGTTTAGGGCTCTCTGGGTCTCTGGGTCCGAGAAGTGGAACTCTGAACCCTGGCTTGCATGATTGATGGCACAGAGCTTGGGTCGGTATGCAGGATCACTTACCTCTGAAACCCCTGCATTCGATCCTCAACACAAGTTACACCCGACAATGCCCGAAAGCAATGAATCCGAAACCCTGAACTGAGTTGTCCTTTAAGCCCTTTGAAAATCATTGATTATTATGGTTCTCTACAAAATAGTATGGGAAACTAACAAAGATCCCAAATGACAACCCAGTAAATCTTAAACTCCCCACATCAACCGAAAGCACCCGTACCCAAAGGTCCCTCAAACCTTGGTACCAGCTCTCGAGCTTCAGTGGTCGAGGGCTCAAGCTAGATAGGCACTTAAAGTAAAGGGATTACGGATTGGGGGTTTAGGGATTAGGGTTTAGGGTTCAAGGGTTTAGGGGTTTAGGGTTTAGGGTTTGGGGGTTTAGGGTTTAGGCCTGTAGGAAGCTTAGTTTTTTGGGGCGTAGGCTTTAGAGGTCTAGGGCTACCCCACTCTAAACATCAAAACCCCAATGCCAAAATCCAAGAGCCCTACAGGAAAAGACGAGAAACTAGCCATAAGACCACCAACACCGCAACAATCACCTACCTCTCCGCCCGATCAAGAAAAAACGAGCCTTGAAGCCAGGGGGTCTGAAACTCCGCAGGGCAAAGGCGGCTTTGTCTGGCATGGCTGGACAGCCGGAGGCCACTTGGGCGTGTAAGCCTGCAAGAACAGCAAGGGCTTAGGGTCCCGGGTCAAGATCCTCTAGTGCAACAGGCTTGGGGTACATAGACCCTAAGGCCCATGTACCCAAATTGAGCAACTACTTAGGCCGCAAAGTATATATATATATATATATATATATATGTAGGGACGACTTTAAGGCCAAACTCTCTAATATACATGGACCTTTAGGGTAAAGCAAAAAGCCTGAGCCGGATTGACTAAATATCTGATTCGCGACCAAATCAGGGGTCAGGGCTTAGGGTTCAGAGTTTAGGAGTTTAGGGTGTAGGGTTTATAGGGTTTAGGGGTTTAGGGTTCGGAGTTTAGCTGTTCAGGCAAATGGTAGGAAATCGAGCTCATGCTGTGCTTCTGGCGGCCGTCTCATACAGCTTACAGCACGTAACCCTTAAGGTCCCAGCTAAACCCTCAGAGGATTTGAGTTAACTCAAACAAGCTCGGACATAGCTACTGACATATCATTACTTCAATGATTCAAAGGGCCTTGGGGCTTTCAGGTTTTAGGGCTTTCAGGCTTTACGGCTTTGAGGCATCAGAGAAAGAGGGTCTAGAAAGCTTTCGATTTTGAGGCTACCCTACATGAGGGCCAAGGCTCAGGGTGTGGATGGTAAGACTTGTGGGTTCGTCTTTAAAGGACTGAAAGCTCTTGTACTACTACTTGGAGGTTCAGGGGTAGTTATAAGTAGGGTTATAAGTCCCCTAATATGGGTTATAAGTATAGCTACCCTACTTATAATAACCCTACTTGTAACTACCCATGAACCTTCAAGTAGACCTCTAGGCTCACTGAAGAGCTGCGCAAGCACCTGCCAGTGGTCCAACCAGGCCACAGCTCGCCAAACCCTTCTCACCAAAAGACAACAGCCCGTCACTGCAATTAGGACTCCCTATGGGCTGAAGGAAGGAGGCATCGTTTATAGCAAGCCCCATAAAGTTGGAAACCGGATTCAGACCAAATAGTGCTGGGGTTCCCAATACATTACTCTAAAGGATTGAGGCTGTGGGGTTTCCAACTTTTGGGCTTCTACTATAGGCTTTTCCTCTCATTTAGGGCAAGGTCTGAAGCTACAGATGGGTAGTTGTCAAAATTAGGGTCCCTTTTTGGGTACCATAAATATTTGGTGCCGTATCATAATCGGTACCCAAAAAGGGATCCTAATTTTGACAACCACCCAGATGAAGATCCGAGCAAGGCCTAGAATGGGAAAAGTTTGGCCCCTTTGCTTGGAACTCGAACCCAAAGGCTCCATGTACCCATATAGTAGGTACTTAGGCCTCAAAGGGGTCCCTATGTAGGTACTTTAAGGCCTAAGTTTATACTATATTGATACATGGAGCCTTAGGGGAACCTGTGCTCATCTCCCATGCTTCATTGATGCAATTACCTCCTGGCTTGAGTCCTCTCAATGTGCAACTTGCTGAGTCATCAAGTGTCTTCAACCCATCTAACCTCAAATCTTTCAAGACCTCCGAAGAGTCCGAAACCTTCAAGACTCCATGTGAACTAGACACGAGAACAGGCTTTCAAATCTCCGCGTGTAACACGCGCACGCGCGGTCCCCTCTCTCCCTCTCTCTCTCTCTCTCTCTCTCTCTCTCTCTCTCTCTCTCTCTCTCTCTCTCTCTCTCTCTCTCTCTCTCTCTCTCTCTCTCTCTCTCTCTCTCTCTCTCTCTCTCTCTCTCTCTCTCTCTCTCTCTCTCTCTCTCTCTCTCTCTCTCGCTATTTGTGGATATGCACATATTCACACGCAGCAACATAGGTAGATGGAAAGACCGACGGATAGGCTCGACGCCCGACTCGAGAACTCAATGGTCGGGCCGTGGCGACGGGCACAGCAGCTGGTGCTGCTAAGACTCGAAGGGCCATGATGCAAAGCCATGGAAAGGTTCGGGAGTGCTAAGGCTTAAGGTCTGGGGTCTAGGCTTTGAGGTCTAAGGTTTTGGGTTTAAGGTTCGGGGGTGTGGAGGTGGGGCCTCATGCTTCGTATCGATGCTTCTTTACCTTGGGTGTTGGGATCTTGTATTTCGTGTGGTTGGGAACGGCTGTGAGGTTGCAGAATCGCAGGGTGGGGGCTGGAGCTGGGAGTTCTTGTGCTTGGTGGTGGCTTTCGCTTGTTCTGCTCGTCTTGCAACATGTGGGCCTTGCCCGTGCTACTTGCAAAGCCTGGAATGCAGCAAATCCCCCCATGCGCAAAACGAGCTACGCAAAACCCTAAATTTAAATCCCAAACCTTATAAGCCCTAAAACCCTAAACCCTAAACCCTAAACCTTATAAGCCCTAAAACCCTAAACCCTAAACCCCTATAGCCCTAAACCCCAAAGCCTCAGAACCCTAAACCCTAAATCCGTCTTCATAGCAGGATATGAGCCTTGAGGGACTGCTGAGGCTTTTTCAAGTACAGAAGTACCTGAGCCTCTGAACACCACCTATAGTCTCCATTGTAGTTCCTTTTTTAGGTTTAACCAAATATACAATTAGGGTCCTATAAGGTAGCCCCAAACAGGAACTACAATGGAGACTCTAGGCAAAACCTCAGTCGCGCTCCAACATCACCACCCCTCTCTGAGACAATTTTTTTAGGATGAGCCAAGGGCTGTTTGGGATTTCGGATGCCGCAGGAAAGATTCAGGATTCCGGGCTCACTATTCAAAAAAGAGTTTATAAGGGTCCCTTTCAGGATTCCGGAGCTCAATATTCACATAAGAGGTTATCAGGATCCCTTTCAGGATTCCGGGCTCAATATTGACATAAGAGTTTATAAGGGTCCCTTTCAGGATTCCGGGCTCAAGGCGTGTAGAAGTTCAAATCTTGAGTGCTGCAGAAGTTCAGCTCTTCTCGGGTTCAAGATTCTGGTGTAGGATCTGTTTTGAACTCCTTTTTACCCTCGCAAATCCAGCCTACTAGGAGGTGTAGGAATTTACAGTTGAGGGTTTGGGCTGAGGGCTACGGATTTACGGCTCAAGGCTGGTGATAGGTTTGCCACAGGAGAGGATGTTGTGTCCTAAATTTACTACCGCTTGCTTGCCGTTGGAACAGCTTGCTGCTCCACCAATCAACTCCACCAAGGCTCTCCAGAATAGTTTCTTTTGAAAAGAGCACAATACGCAAAAACAAAAACAGGTCTGGGAAACGTCTTGTCCTAAAACCGTTCTTGTCTTTTTCTCGCTGCTCGATGTGCAAAGGTAAGGCTCCCAGCCGCCCGGGTCAACGCTGAGCCCAAGCCTGCGCAAACCGGTTCCGGGGTCCCGGCTCTACAGGAAGCCCTAAACCTTTGCGGATCATGGACTTGGTAAGTATGGTTTTTTGTACCTCAATTGGGGTTAAAAAATTGTAAGTATAGTTATAACTAAGTCTGACCTGCCCAGTCTCCAGTTTGGTTCCTTTGGGGGGGTCTAACCAGTTCTACGTTTAGGATGCTACAAGGTAACCCCAGAAGAGGAACTACAACGGAGACTGAAGGCAAACCCTATAAGCCCTGAGCAGCAAGCCCTTTGACTCCAAACCCAATGCCAATGCCCCTGCTTCTCTAGAAGGGCCGATGCGACATGCGGGTAAAACATGCCCAATGCTGTGGCCCTCAAGAATGTCCTCCTCCCCCTCAGGCGGCAGGCGAACCTTTCTTTAACTCGAATCAAACCCGTTTTCACTCACTTCACGAAATCATACTGTTGATGGACAAAATCTTGCATGACCCTCAGGACTCTAAACTATGGGAATTATGGTATGTTCCTTATTATGGGTAATGCAGGATTTATATCATCAACAGTAATTATATAACTGAAACCCGAACTGCTGAATTCCCGAAGGTCAAGCCTGCTGCCTCCAGGGCTTTCGAGAACGAAGAGCTGGCTTCATGCCTGCTTGGCTTGCTGGCGCTGACGCCTCGGTATTCGGCTTTTCGGTTTTCGAGTTTAGAGTCTAGGACCTAGAGTCTAGGGTTAGGGATTTGTGATGACTCTAAGCGTCCAAGAGCCGCATAGAACTAGAATAGGGTTTTGGGGCCCATTTTACTACAACTATAATAAGGAACACTAAAATAGTAATTATAGGCATTTGTTAAAGCCCCTATAGTTTGGCAGACTTGGTCCTGGGCTCTTTCTTTTGCTCGCGCTTGCTCGTCTTCTCCTGCAGGTCAAGCCCCACCCGCATGGCCCAATATCCCCCCAAAAAAAATAAAAAATGAGTCAACAAGGATATGACATGCATCCAACCCACACAATGTTGTTGCTTGACCCAAAGTTGGGTCCTTAGTATATATATAGACGTGGATAGGTAATGTGGGTGATACTGGGTAATTATCGACGTTCTGTTTAAAGTCATATCAAGTGACAACCCTCTGCTCCTGTCGACCCCCACAATAGCCATGTCCCCACCGGATGGACCGGCTCCTCGCATTTCTCTTGCTGCCGTTCACGCTTCAGCTCCATTCGTGCGCGTTTGGCAGCCTCCTCTCAGGGAGATGTTTGAGGACTTGGGGTGTGCAGCCTCGCCCTAAGGCTCTAAGGGTCCAAAGGACCCCTTTTTGGGGTCCTTTATTTCACAGTGCCGCACTATTCTCAGGACCAAATAGGGGAGCCTAGTTTAGCTACCCATGTGTTGGAGGGGCTAGGGGTTTCGGATGGTGTTGTAGCCCAAAGGGTCCAAGAATCGCTATGGTATATACTTATAGGGTATTTTGGGGGCCTAAGTATATACCATAATGATACTTGGACCCTTTGGGTAGTAAATATGCAAAATCTACCGTCCCGCTACACAGAAGACTGCTGGTCTTGTGTGCTAGTCAGACTGAGCGTTGGGCAACGTTGAACCCATAGCAAACATCGACAGCAGTGTCATATATTCTTCTTTGCAACAGTACCAGGACCAAGACATGATTTGTGGATTCTAAAGCCCGCGAAACTTACCCATCGGAAAACCTCAAGCGTTTGAAGCCTTTGGACCAATTTCTTCCACAAATCCGGCCCGTATGGGTTTACACATGCAGACTTGTAACACGCCACGAAACACCAATCGAGCATCCTCAATACACAACCCCCCTCAACAAAAAAACAAGCTTTAACCTCCAAGCCGTAAAATCAGAAAGGCCGCAGCTCATTTAAATTCCAAGCCACAGAGGCCCTAAGCTACAAACTTCGAAACCCTAATGCCGAACCATAGACCTCTACTCACCAAACCCAAAAACACTGAACCCCCAATCGTAGAACTACAGTGCTATATTAACAAGCCCCACCTATGCTGCAACCCTGAATCCAAAACCCTTACCTAAGACTTTGCAAAATGACACCTGTAAACGACAGTAATCTTTAAGCACTGAAGCACTAGTGCTGATTCGAGCCATCGACGCCTTCTGATGCTTCTTGGAGAGAACACCACCTGGGGGTTTCCGAAAATAGGGGGACCCTCATCTAGTACCCTATTTACATAGTAGGATCGTTAATAATACAAGGACATCAAAACAAGGTACCCCTAATTTTCGGAAACTATCCAAGGGACCCAGACCCTGTAAAGGATGCAGAAGATGAATACCTGAAAACAGGCCACCGTCTGGTGTACCACCCCCCAGACCCTGATCTCAAATCTGGTAGGACATCTGCTGTGTGTCTTTTTGTGGTGGGCTGTGTTCGTTAGATCCCGTAATTTTCAAGGGTCCTGAACTCCATAAAGCTCAAACCTAAATCCCCCGATGAGCCTGACCTACACCATAGAAACCCGAAACCTTGCAAACATACCAAGCTTGGGAGCCTACCTGCCGAGACCTGCAACTGTAGTCCCATTTTTGGCAACCATGTGATATTTATCTTACTCCCCCAATAAACCACAGAAATGAGAGGTTAACCTTTCCCATTCCTACTATATAAACTAACTATAAGAAACCAAAAAGGGTCCCTGCCATAGGTAAATGCCCTTAAGGACCCTAAACTATGGGAATTATGGTATATTCCTTATTATGGGTAATGCAGGACTTATATCATCAACCGTATCATCGTGAAGACGACGATGGTGATTATGCTGGTATTGCGATTATCGCTATTGCCTCTACTCTTGTTCCGAGTCCCGAAGACTCCATGTGCCCATATAGTAGGTACTTAGGCGGTAAAGGGGCCCCTATAGGTACTTAGAGGCCTAAGCACCTACTATATGGGTACATGGAGCCTTTGGGAATGTTGTTTGGACAATGCCAACAGTCGCCCTGCCTCCGTCGTTCACTGCCATGAGCGCGCTGCCTCCACCGCGGCCACCGCCTTCTTCTGTCGTCTGGTTGTGAGGACTCTTTAGGGGTTTAAGGTTTTGGGGTTCAGGGGATAAACTAAGGTTTTTGGGGGGTTCAGGGTATAATTAAGGTTTTAAGGGTTTAGGATTTAAGGGTTTAGGGTTTAGGGGTTTATGAAGCTGGATTGATTTGCAGTTCGAGGTCATGTTATGTTGCAGGTGGCAGTTTCTGTCTTTTAGCGATAGCAGCTGCTTTTTTGAGGCTTTGAGCTTGTGGATTCAAAGGGTCCGAAGCCTTGAGCCGAGAATGGCCCACTTTGGAGCACATGTCTTTCGAGCTGCGGGTTGAGTGTCTTAGTTGTCGCGAGCTTTTATCGTAACAAAAGGCGAATCAAACCTAGTTACGAGGTCGACTATCCAATTGGAGACTCACCATCTAAGAGGCCGCTGCAAGGGGACAGTATACAACTACTATAGCGAATCTCAGACAGTTGGAACATTCATTTAGGAGGACTAGTGCTAGGATCCCTTATACTTTACCTTAAAGACATGAGGACAATGATGTTCCAACTTTCTGGCTTCTCATATAATTACTAACATAATATACAATTAATTGGACTCCTACGGTCCTAAGTTGTGAACTAAGACCCCCCAAAAAGCACATAAGCAAAAATTAGGATAGGGATATCCCACATAAACCCTAGAAAATGAAGCCCAGTAAGGCAGGGATATCCCCTTAAAAGGCTTATGCTTATGTGGTTTTTGGGTCCCTAATGAATGGCACCCGGCACAACTCGGCCGTTCCACGGCAGCCCTTTCGGCGCCTGCGGCTGGTGGCGGCTCTTCCTGCAGCAAAATGCGGCCACGGAATAAGAAAGGTGGTGATGCTGTTGATGGTGTTGGAGATAATCTTCAAAATAATGACGGTAATCATAATGGTAATGATAATGGTAATGGTAATGATAATGGACTGAAACCCAGGCCCTAAGGCTCCATATACCCATATAGTAGGTACTTAGGCCTTAAAGGGGTCCCTGTATGGCTACTTTAAGGCCTAAGTACCTACTATATGGGTACATGGAGTCTTTGGGAGGAAGCTCGATACCCTGTACTTGCCCTACGCACCTGTTGTATGAATGAAATTATATGGGATATACTTACACAAACATTAATACTACTAGTTCCTACTCTCAGTACGTATACATATATATATATATATATATGTATATAGATAGATGTAGATGTAGGTATAGATATAGAGACCCGGCTTTGTTACATACTATCTATACCTGTGACCCGTTGGTGCTCAGGCCAGCGCACCCCCTCGACGCTAAACAGTTCATCCCTAAAGCCGAAAACCCGACACCCCCGGAGAACCCAAACCCTACCTATAGTCTCCATTGTAGTTCCTTTTTTTGGTTATGAAGTTTCTTTCGCTTGGGGTCCTGTAAAAGAGATTTTGGTTAACCAAGAAAAGAAACTACAATGGAGACTCCAGGTAATTCAAAAAACATATAGCTACTTCACTGTTTCATCCCCAAGTGTTGCAACCTGTGTAGGGACCCCCCAAAGCACATAAGCATAAGCATGTTACAGGGATATCCCTGCCTTATTGGACTTCAGTATAAGGGGGTTTGTATGGGATATCCCTATCCTAATTCTTGCTTATGTGATTTTTTGGGGCCCTACTGTGAGCCCATCGGAGATCCTCTTCGTCGCTATCAGAGTCGGAGTCATCGAACCACACGGTCGCACGGTCACTGAGGCCGAGGACGCACCTAGGGTTTCTGGGGTCTCTGAAGCGGTTCTAGTGTGGATCCAAACTAAAATAATACAGGGGCTTTAAGGGGTTTCTATTGGGGGTTCTAGCAGGGGATCCGCACTACGAGGAAGGAAGGGTTTGTAGGGTATCTTTCGGGGTTCCAGAAACGGTCTACACTATGAGCAATTAAGGGCTCTGCAGGGTTCGTTGTTAGGTTGTTAGGGTCGCATTTGGACTCGAAGCTCCAACTAGGTTCACGGTTTAGGGTTGTTGCGGGAGTTCCACCCCTCAGACTTAAACAACCTGTTGCGGAAACATCCACCTGAGCTTTCAGGCTTATGTGTAAGATCTAGCGTTCGGGGGAGCCTTGTGCAGGCAACTACTAACGATTAAACCTTAAGACCATGGAGACCAGATTGACCAAATTCCACGACAACGCAACGACCTTGACGGCACAGCTTACCGTACCGTACCCACAAATACCTCCACACCGCCATTAAAACATCCCGTATGGAAGCTTGTATGGCTGCCATCCCTTGATTCGCCCGAAGCCCTAAATCACGGGGACGATTAGAGTTGAGAGTTCGGGGACAAGCAAAACACAAAATGTGCCACGTCGCTCCCAGCGCTCAGCGCAGGCGACATGGAGCTCATCGCCCTGTTGGAATAAGCAAGGTAAAAGGCTTCAGGTTCACTATCTACGAAACCAAGGATTCGTATGTTCGGTGTTTTGTAGCAGAGCCTTTGAAACTACGGCCGAAACCGCTGGTTCTCACCTTCCTTATCTTGTACCAGAGGCTTTGAAACTGCGGGTGCCTTCTGTGTTGTGTACCAGAGATTTTGGAACCCAGGGTTGGTATCTTATGTGTTTTGAAACACCTAACCAATGGTTTTGGGGGGTTTCCTTGGCTCTTTAGCTCCTTAGTTTAATAGGGATTATCATCATCCTTGGCTCCTTAGCTCCCATAATATCAATGGTTAGACACTGTCTGCAACTCAAGGTTCGTATTCGTATCTCTTGTGCTTTGTAAGAGCTCCGCAAGGGTCTGGGTTGGGGCTTTAAGGGCTATGGGCTTCAGGGTTTCAGACCCGACAGGGGACCTTTCATTGAAGCCATCAGGCCCTCAACAAGGAGCCTTAAAGGTTTCATATGTGGTATTTGCGGCAGTTTGGGAAAGGTTTGGGGTTAAAGTCGATGCTAAGCATCTCAAGGTGAGTGGCATGCAGCTGATGAGGGGCAGCTTTCTTTTAACTACGGGTCAGAATCAAAGGCACACCGCTGTGATGCAGCGTCTCGGATATATGGGGGTTTCCGAAAATAGGGGACCCTAATATAGTACCCTAAGCAGTAGGATCCTTGTTGTAAGGACCCCAAAATAATTAAGGTACCCCCTATTCTCGGAAACTCTAAACTCTAAACCCTTCTTAGGACTCATATATTAAGGCTTTTGGACCCAAAAACCATACTTTTTTCGGCTTTTGGGCTATTTTGAGCCTTAGGGTTATAGAACCCTTATAGATCCCTTTAAGTAACCCCTATAGATCCCTTTAAGGAACGCCTATAGATCCCTTTAAGTAACCCATATGCTGCAGGTTTTCGAGATCGGCCTGCTTCTCCATCTGAAGCTCTAGCCTCCACAAGTCGTCCAGGGTGACCTGCCGCAACAGTTTAGTAGGGTTTAGAGTTTAGGGTTTAGGGTTTAGGGGTTTAGGGTTTAGAGTCAAACTGAGTAATTATGGCAATCACAGATAGATTCGGGTCATAACATTGGATATAACACCAACACTGATTCTGAGAAGTATCCAGAAAAAAACGATAACAAAAAACAAGTATCTTCCCCGTTGTCGAAACCTCCTGCTTCGGTCCGGATTCGCAGCTGCCGCCGAAGATCCATAGGGCACCTCTTTGAGCCCCCCGCCCGTCCCAACAAAATCTACGTTTGATGATATAAATCCTGCATTATCCATATATAATAAGGAACATACCATAGTTCCCATAGTCTAGGGTTGTTGAGTAATGCAGGATTTGTTTATATCATCAACCGTAGCACATTTAAGGTCGTAGATAAGGGAGTCCCAGTGAGGAGCCTTGAACAAGTAGGCTTCCGGGGGGTGGGCTTTCGGGTTGATGGCTTAGGTTTTCCGGCTTCGGCTGAAGCACAGGGCTTACATGGAGGATCAGGGGACTTAATCGCATGGCCATAGGTACCTTACTTGGGGGTTATAACCCTGGGCATCAAAACAGCCCAAAAGCCTTGTATAGTATGGTCTTTGGGCCCAAAAGCCTTAATACATTAGTCCTTAGATGCCTAGGGTAAGTGGCATAGTTACCCTAAAGACAACCGTAGATGCTAAGTCGCATGAGCCCCACAATAGTATTGGTAATTATTCAGGCCCCTAAACCCCTACAACTGCACTGGTCGTCGCTGCTTGGCCAGCTTCTCTCGGTGGCGTCCCCGCTATCTGTGTGCGAGCCGCCCCCGGTGTGGTTGGCAGCTCGCTGCGGTGCTAGTGGCGGTCGTGCTTTTGGTAGCTCGGTGGTGTTGATGGTCCCCCGTGGATTGTGGTGGTACTCCGGTGGTACAAGCATGGGGGTGGGCACTTGCAGGATCCCCCAGTAATTTAGGTCACCCGCTGTGCGTTCCACGAGCGTCCAGTCGTCGTTGTCCCACACGATCAAGAAGCTGTCGCCCCGCCGGATGTCTATGCTATCATGAAGTGGCTGTTGCATCCCCGGTGCTCGTGAGGGTCCTTCATCCACTTCGATCAACCACGCTCGAGGGATGAGCGATGTTGTGAGGTCCCATTTCTGCCTCGCGCAGCTCGCGAAATCGCCCAGTGGTGTGGCCAGTAGTGACACTCCCTCCCTTCACAGAAACCCTTATAGAACCCTTTAAGTAGGATGTCAAGGAGCTAGGCCTGGGCCGCTCGTGGATGAATCGTCGCTAAAGGTCCTGCTATCCCACAACAAGTAGGTCCTTAATGTAGATTAAAAAACCCTGAACCCCCTAAGTAGGTACTTGGGTTTACAATGTCAGTTCTAAACCCTAAACCCCCTTTAAACTGTAATCCCCTACACCCAAAAACCCTAAACTTTGCTTCTGCGGACAGCGCCTCGCGACACCACGCAGCCAGCAGCCATGCGGCCTCTTGGCGCCTGGCCCGTGCAAGAAGGTTTAGGGTCTTTATTAAGCCCTTATTATGGCCTTATTAAGCCCTTATTAAAGCCATATTAAAGCTTTATTAGAGCTTTATTTAAGGTCTTAGGGTTTTTAGAATTAAGGGGGCCGGTACGGTTTTAGGGTCTTTAGAATTAACGGGGGCCTGCAGGGGAATAGGGTAGAGCCGTAGGTGAGACATATGCAGGCATCCTGCACCCATACCAGCCCCGAAGAAAGAACCCTATTAATTATAGATCCCTTATAGACCCCGTTTGGATCCGTTAAAGGGATTCCCCAAAATAGCATAGGTAGATACTAGGGCCCCTATATTATGGGCCGAAGCGCTCAACAGACGGAGGCCAGAGGCAGCAACACAGGGCCTCGCGCATGTCTTCCGAACTCTTGGAGGCTCCTGTCAGTGGTTTACTTGGAGGATCATGGCACTTAGTAAGTACGGGTATAAGTACCTTAATTGGGGTTATAAGTAGTTACAAATATAGTTTCCCTACTAACAACCTTAGTTACTAAGTCCCAAGATCCTTCAAGTAGGGTTTAGGGTTTAGGGTCACTGATGGATGTCGGATACTGCAGGGGCCCAGATAAATGCCACCAATGCTATGTTGGGAAGTTCTTTGGTATAACGGGTAGTATAATATATCCCCCAAACCCTATCCTAATTATTAAAGGACCCATATTGCAGGCTAACCCAGAGAGAGATCATATGCACGACTTTTTTGTGGAATTCGGCCGAAAGGTCTTCTGGGGTCTACTATTGTGGAGTTCCCAAAAACCATGACTTGGAGGGGTCTTTTGGAGTTGAATTCCACAGTGCTAGTATCTTTGGACTTTTTGGGCAGGGGTTGTGGGTATGAGGTAAGCTTGACTTTTGGGTTCAAGATATTATAGCCGCCTGATTAGAACAAACTTGGGTCTTGATTAGGTTCAGTTCTGTATGTGAATCCTTTGATTTGGGGTTATAGGCCCAGGTTGCTTTAATCGGGCTCCGACATTATTAAGAGGAGGAGGAGGAGGAGGTTCAAGTTCTGCTTGCTCTGGACGATCGGGTAGTTAGACTCAGCTTTCTCGCAAATTCCGAACTCAGAAGGGCTTGAATGACCAAGCCCCGCAACAATACCCATTTCAAGTCACGCCAGTTCCTTGCAACGGGTATTGTTCGAGCAAACAGCTTTTTCCGCACAGCAGAAGCCTTTCATGCTCGTTCTGACAGCGGCTCGGCCACGCGAAGGTTTCTCGCGTGGCTACATTCCGTTTCATCTCAGACTCACTGAAACCTGAACCCTAAGCCCTCAACACACAGTCTTTAGGCTTCGAACATCCACCCAAACCCAATAAACCTTAAACCCGCCAGCCTGAAACCTATATAATGTAATATAACCTGTTGCAGTACATGAAATATACAACATACAACTATATAACATATACGGTATGATGTAATAGGTGAAACATGGTAAAGCAACCCACAAAGTAAGTTATAATATACGATAACAAGCATATTACTATTACCCTATGTTAACTTATATTCTATTATAATATGCCATAGTAAAAATATTACCTTATGTTGACTTATGTTCTTTTGCCATCAGAAGTTGCAGCCTCCCCACTCAGGGAGCTTCTGGAGGCTCAGAGCACATCCCACTGCCACGGCCGCTGGTCCGGATGCTCCGAGGGAGCCTCACTGAGGCGAGTTCGGTCTAAGGGTTCAGGGCCCTTTAAAGGGATCTATAAGGGGTTCTATAAGAGTTCCTTTAAGGGGATCGATACAGGGTCTAGGGGTTCAGAGTTTTTAGGGCTTATAGGGTTGAGGGTTTATAGGTTTATAAGGCTTACCTTAAACCCAACTACCCGAAGGCCCCAAAGTAGTTCCTTTTTGGGGGTTCATATATAGAACCCTATAAGGTAATCCCAAAAAGGAACTATTGTACTTTGGGGCCTCTGGGTGACCTACATTTTTGAGACTTGTGTAAGGAAATCATACTAAAGAGCCGGAAGAAGGTAGGTTTCTTCGGGTCCAGGGAGGGTTTATAGGGCTTATAGGGTTTGTTGGTTTAGAGGATTTAGGCTTTCTAGGATTAATAGGGTTTATGGGGCTCGTAGGGTCTTCTTCTTGGGTTTAGGGCTCAAAGGGTTTAGGGCCTTAAACCACCAGAACCCTTCTTTTTGTAGCATCATTACCCTACTTACTAAACGCTTACTTACACACCCGAACGGCAGTTCAAGTTTCGGGGGTTTGGGCTTTGCAGCTACGTACTTGGGAACGTATAGAGCCCCAAGCCGAAGCAGCAGAGGAAGAGCTCACCCTGGATCCTTAACCCTCAACTCCGAAACTCCAGCCGTTGCATCAGCAATGACAAAAGCAGCTGCTACGAACCTCACAAACCCTCACAAGCAAGACCTGGAGCAGAAAAGGATGAACTGATGCCTGAATCATTACGGTCTAGGGCCAGTTTAGGGTTTAGGGATGAGGGTTTAGGATTTAGTGTTTCCCCTTCTCTCTCCCTGTTTCCCTCCCTGTTTGGTCTCGGACTTGTTGGGTCATGTTCAGGTGAAAGGGTTGAACGGGCTCCGCGATCTTTACCACTAAGAAAAAATCTGGGAGTTCCAGCTTTGAGAGTTTGTAGATTTATGAATGCTCCTAGTGCCTTTTATGCGGACTACTTTGCAGGCAAAGTATACACCTTCAGGAATAGGCTTTCTGACGGGTCGGGGATTTCAGAATACAGCTCTTGGTCCTGGGAGCCTAAACGACCCCAAATCCTAAACCTTATAAAGCCTTACCTTGACTTCTCACATTGGGGTGTCAGCTTAAACTAAACCCCCAAAAGTGGGTAACATATTCGCCCAACACCTATTCCTATACAAGGCCATCATTCTACATACTATAGGGGCCAAAACAGTTACCTGTACTATTTTGGTGCTCCTTACTAAAATTATAGCATAATGGGTCCCCAAACCCTATTCTAATTATTACAAGGCCCCTACATTGCTTTTGCCGTATCAGCTTAAGGGCATAAGGGTGGGATCCGAAATCCATCTCCGCCAAAAGGGCTGCCGGGTGCCGCAGCAAACAGCCCAGCTCCCCAAGCGGCTCCGACACCTTGAGGGTTTAGGGTCTAGGGTGATTTAAGGGTTTGATTTAGGGTTTAGGGTGATTTGGCTTGTTCTTGGCTTTTGGTTTTGAGCTCCTGGAAGTTTAGGCCGTCATGTCTTGGTCTTGAGGGATTGCTTGAGGAGCTTCCTCACCCACCTGCGACGCCCGGAAGACGAGCCCGGCAAGCCCTAAAACAAGAAAAACTCCAAGGGTAAAAGGAGGGACCCTCAATAAGGACCCCTAGGTATATACCCTTAATATAGCTATTATATGCCCATTATATAGCCCATTATAGGGTAGGGGTCCCCATTAAGGGTCCCTCCTTCTCCCCTTTGATAAAACAAGAAAACACAACGGTCAAGGCTTAGGGTTACATAGGGGTTTGCAGGGCCAGTGTGGGTCTGGGGTTGAGACCCCTACAAAGCCTATACAGGATGTGTATGTATTGGTTTTGCACGTTTAGGGTTTACGGTATAGGTACAACCCTAAACCAAAAACTCTCAAACCTAAACTCTAAAACCCTAAAACCTAACCTTATACACCCTTAACCTCGATAAAACCTAGTAAGGCCCCTAATGGGTGCAGTCCAGCAGGCACGTTCCCAGAAGTTCCTAAATCCGACCCCAATATGATACCCTAAGTAGTCGAATCTTTTTTATAAGGATCCCCAATAAGGTGGTAGTAGAATCTTTTTGTATAAGGATCCCCAAATAAGGTGCAGTCCAGCAGGCAGGTTCCCAGAAGTTCGTCGACGCCAACGGCCTGAGCCACCTGGCGTCCCAGCCAGGCCCCAGAGGCTCCTCGGCTTAGTCTAAGGGGCCCATGGTCCTATTGCTGCTTAAGCCTCATAACACCTAGGGATCTATAAGGGTTCCTTTAAGGGATCTATAAGGGTTACTATAAGGGATCTATAAGGGTTCCTTTAAAGGATCTATAAGGGTTCCTTAAAGGGAACTCCAGAAAGTTGGAATATGGTTTCAGGGTAGGATACCCTATAATTTACCATAGAAGGGTTTAGGATAATCATATTCCAACTTTCTGGCTTTTACTATAAGGGTATAGCTATAAGTAGGGTTCCTTTAAGGGTCCCTTTAAAGGGATCTATAGGGATTCTAGAAGGGTATATACGGTTTAGGGCCTACTTGGAGGTTCAGGGGTACTTATACGTAGCTAATATGGCTTACAAGTATAGTTGCCCTACTTGTAACCCTACTTATAACTACACATGAGAGTCGAAGGGCCCATGGTACCCAAATAGGGATCCTTTCAGGGTTCCTTTAGGGGATCCTTTAAGGGTTCCTTGAAGGCTTACAACAAGGGCTATAGGGCCGACGGCCTCCGTAGGGTCTTCATTCATGTTTCGGGTTGTAGGGTTTAGGGTTTAGGTTTTAGGTTCTAGGGATCTAGGGTTTAGGGTTTGAGGGATGTTTCGGGTTCAGGGTTGGGGTGGGGGTTTTAGGATATTGGGTCTAGGGGATTGGGGCCGTATAGAGTTAAGACAGAACAGGCTATTTGGGGTAGCTGTCATTTCATGCCAATGGCAGGTGGCCCAAAACCATTGAACGGATTGGATGGGGTGTTTCCGAGAGATTTGATCTTCGTTCGATTCTCTTGGAAAGTCAGGTGTCCGGGAGTCCGGATTGGCGGAGCGGGGGCGCAAGTTTCGAATTAGCTGCCTTTGTGTATGCAGATAGAGGGTGGTACGGTACGGCGGCTTTTTGTATTTTTGGCCTTGCGGTTTCTTCAGATGCAACCCATACATGGAGCAAGTAGCTTGCTTTATGGATGTCGGCCTGTGGGCCTCAGATTCAAGAAAACGGTCTGCGGGCTTTGAGGCTGCAAGAATGTCGGGAGTTGGAGTTGAGGTGCCCAAGAAGTGCTCCAGCTAACTGTATGCTTCGAGGTTGAGTTTAAGTCGAAATGCGCAAGCAGCACGATCCGCTATGCACAAAAGCAAGCCTTCTAAATCTACATGTATTCGGCACAAATACCAAGCTCAAAACCCACTCACTGAAACCTTGAAGTCATGCCCTATAAACCCTAAAGACCCTTTCGGATGCTCTTTGTACAATCTGCCATAACCCACTCTACTATACTCTACCATATTATATCATACTCGACCATACTGTACGAACATATCATACTACACATACCATACTATACTAATGCTCTATAAACCCTACACGCCCTTCCGGATAGGATGCCGAAACACCTCCAAGTCCGGCGGCTACTCCGAGGCCAAGCGAGCTGCCAACCTCAGCTCCCTGAAACCCAAAACCCCTAAGCCCCTAAAACTAGCTCATGGTTGGTATAGGATTGAAAATTTATATTTTTCTTCGTTATTGAGTTTAAGTACCCATAAAAAATTGTAAATTGTTACCCAACGCTGACAAAGTAAACCCTAAATGCCTAAACCACAATATCCCGGACCCCTAAACCCTAACCTAAACCCCTACAGCATCCTACAACACTAAAAAAACCTTAAACCCCTAAAGACCTAAAAATCACTAAACCCTAAACCCTACCTGGAGGCTCATACCCTACCCCTTTTTTGGGGCGCCTACTTTTTAAGATAACAGATCCTAACATAAATCTAGTTATCCTAAAAAAGGGGTAGGGTATGAGCCTCTAGGTAAACCCTCATTTAACCAAAAACAACTCCGAAGCCCGAGTGGCCTTAGACAGGGCTTCGGGTGGTACATGCATAATTTTCGTTGTCCCTGCAAGGCACCCTTTTGGGCCGGAAGCCCGTGGCTTGTTTGGATTCGGGGCATATTGATTTGATGCTTCGGGGGCTCAGGTTGCATGTCTGGAAACGAACCTTATTGTAGGCGGATAGCATATCGATCTCTCATGTCACCTGAATGCAGGCTGTTAGGGCTTGGATAGGAGTTAGGGCAATATTTGGGGGTTTCCGAAAATTAGGGGTACCTTATTTTGGGGTCCTTATAATAAGGATCCTACTATTTAGGGTACTATATTAAGGTCCCCTATTTTCGGATACTCCCATATGATTAATCTATGATTATGGGCTGTAGCATGCACACACTCTCGAACGGCCGAGCGACCCCATAGCTGTAGAGTGCACCGCCACTAGCATGAAGGGCGGCGTTCCCGAAGGCCGCTTGCAGAGACATGGGCGGGAGATCGAACATCTTGCAGGCAAAATGCTCACAGTTGCTGAACACCATATCATACTTCCATTGCCTCTGCCTGTATGCATTGAGAGCCTTGTTTACAACCGCTGTACCTTCGTCCGATGTCTGCTTCTCTTGGAAGACGGTCCAATTCGAGACGCCGACCAGATCTACACGCTCGATCTGGATACCTCCAGGGTTGGCCCCGATGGCACAGGCCTTGTAGGGGCCCACATCACCGGTGTAAATGGCGAAATGTGCAAAACATGGGTTGTACTTGTTGTCCTTCTGTCTCAGGTCCCTGTAGATGATGCTGCCTGGCCGGCAGAACCTCCGGGTCTGTGAGGAGCGGAACTGTGATCTGCAGAAGGTCCGCCGACCAGTATCAAGTACCAGGGAAGCGCGCACAGATGCCATGCCCTGTGTAGAGGAAGATGCGCGGACCAAGAAGCAGAAAAGGTTGAAATGAGAGGCCTGGTACAAACGTCTTAAAATCGTGATCCCGAGAAAACACATGTTAGCATGGGACTGAGGCTTTCCTGTGATACTGTAAGCTTGCCAGACTCGAAGCGCATCGGTATAGCTTGAGCCCCAGTTGCGGGTCCAGGTCCTAATGCCGAACCCCTCCAAAATGACCTCCAGTCCCACGACGGGACATCCTAAAGAACTCTGCAACAGTGGTCCCTTATGAGTAAGTCACAGACACACATAACTAAAACTTATGAGTAAGTCACGCACACACACACACATAACTAACGTAGCTAAAAAGCCCCTACAAATACCCCTAAGCTCAATTTAATTGCTCAAGCCCCCACCCATCCTATGCATGACCTGGTTGGAAGGCACTCGGCATCACAACCCGCAAGGCAACCTCGATCGTTACAAATGCCTACAGTAGTGACTTTAAGACCAATATCCCCAGAAGGATATCCGAGACATATGCGCACCAATCTCCCCACAATGCCATGTGTGCAGTCGCCAAGCCCCAACAAAACCCTTTCTGCAGATCAGGTCATTCGTATTCCCACTACTATTCAACATTTCTAGTAATACTAATTAATACGACTAGTACTGTTGTTACTGGTATTATTACTATTCTTACTAGTATTATCAGAAGCATGTCTGACCTTTCTGGTTGATGTGTTGCCAAGGGCCGAAATGCCATGGGGTGTGCTTGACATCAAGGCATCTGACACGGACAGCTTGGGGTCTTGACACCCCTAGACCCTACACCCACTTTAGGGTTTAGGGGTTTAGGGTTTAGGGTTTAGGGTTTGCAACCTTAGGCCCTAGGCCCTAAAACCCTAAACACGATGCCTCGGTAGGCCACCAGCGCAAGGCTCTGCGCATCTGCACCGCCGCCGCGGCGTCGAAGTTCCTCCGAAAGGTCCTCGGCCTGAGAAGGCTGGGCTTTGTGTTATGTACGTATGAACATATACATACACATGTGTTTATGTATCTGAGCAGTTCGTTTTGTATGTATGCATGTATGTGCATGTATGTATATATATATACACACATGTATACGCTAGGCTTGCTAATCGGGTCCAGGAGTTTTGTTTTTGTGTTGAATAGCTGTTAATCGGTTCTTATAGGGTTGCTCAGGATTAAGGGGTCAAACGGACTTATAAATCCCACAACGGTTTTGGAGTGGGGCGTCCTTCAAAGTTAGGGTTGTGCAAGCAAGGGCTGTTGGGGTCTTGTAGAGTCTATACACAAGCACACATGCACACACAAGCACACGCAAGCACACACAAGCACACGCACACGGACACACAGAGATACATACGCAAACGCGGACACAGACGGAGATATACACCTCCCCCCCCCCCCCCCCCCGCACACACACACACACACGCACACAGACAGAGGCACGCACACGAACAAAAAGACAGCAACAGAGAACGAAACAAGTCCGAAACCGGAACCTCATACTTCCAGTCCAAACCCTGAAGCCCAATTCGTCCTCGCGCCTTGGGAACAGCTGAGAGTGCAGAGGCTCCTGGCCATAACCTCAGTGCCCAGAGAATCCAACATCCCTTGCAAAAGGAATAAATTTTTGAGCAAATATTCCTTACATCATATTAGGGATCCTACTATAGTTTGAGGGTTAACGTCTATTTCTTAGTTAAGGGATATTGGAGTCTCGAGGTGACTTGTGGTTCCAGCTGTCGAAGGGCATTGGAACGTGCCACAAGTTCGGGCTTGGGGTATGTGCTTGTGGTTGCTAGAGTTCCATTATCAACAACATCGCATTCCCAGTTCTGGTCCTTGTGGAAGGAGTGGCTATCGGCCTGGGTCTACAACACCAAGAGAAGCACCTGCCTTAAACACTCAAAGCCACCTCTAGCCCTAAACACGAAGGCGAGTAGACACCACATCCAAGACAGAAAGGACCCCGCGAACTGAAAACACCCAATCCTAGCATCATCTCCGACCTTCACGCGGGAGCAGACTTGCAAGACTTGAGTCAGTAGACTTGAGCAACCTTGGGACTTTTGGCCCTAGACTGCTCAGAAATCTTCAAGCTCGGAATCCCCCTGAAACCTCGGACCTTGGGAGTTTCCGAAGACAGGGGGGGTACCTTATTTTGGGGTCCTTATATTAGGGATCCTACTATTTATAACACTTAGGGTCCCCTATTTTTCGGAACCCCCCCTTTAGACTCTACCCAAAGGACCTATAGTCTCCATTGTAGTTCCTTTCTTTGGTTAACCAAAATCTCTAGTAACCTAGTATAGGATCCTAACCATAAGACGAGTTAACCCAAAACAGGAACTACAATGGAGACTATAGGTATAGGGTTCTTTTTTAAAGTGCAATGGCTCTTTCTGCTCCGCATGAGAGTATAGGGTTCAGGGTTCAGCCTCAGACCCATAGAACGTCCTTCACACACTGAGGCCGCTTGAAGCCTGAACATTTCCGAAGCCCGGACCTCAAGTAAGGGTTCCTTTAAAGGGATCTATAAGGGTACCTTCAAGGGGTTCCTTGTTAGGGTTATAGGGTCTAGGTTGATGATACAAATCCTGCATTACCTTAAGGACCCTAAACTCTGGGAATAATGGTATATTCCTTATGATGGGTAATGCAGATTTATATCATCAACCGTAGTGGTGAGTATCTCGCTACTATCCTCCTGACATGAATCTACTACACTACACTGTACACCAAAATCCACTTCAGAATTATCAATATCATGGCTCTTATAAAAATAATCTTGGAGCAACCCATGATCTAGCGGTCTTGATTTGGGGTTTCGGGGTTTAGGGCCTAGCTGTATCCCCAAACCCTACAAACTGGTAAGTCCGTCTGCTATAGTGTGAAACCTCTAACCTCCCAAAATAGTAGGCTTCTGGATCTTCAGGTAATCCCTGACGAAGACCATGATCTGGCAAGAAGCCGGGACCACTGTGCCACCTCTCGCGTGCAGTCCTGCCGGCAATTGAAGAAGCTCAGGGTTTACGGGGTTTGGGGTTGAAGTTTGGTTGAAAATTAGGCTTTAGGGTTTGGGGTTTAAGCATCTTAGGCGTGCCTTGGGGTTTAGGGTTGAGGTGACGCCTACGATGAAGAGATGGACAAGCTTAGCTTTGCAGCCTACCCAAGGTACCGAAGCCGTAAAACTCCGCAAACCCTCATCTGCACCCGAAGATCGCTAGATTCTGAACTGCTAGTTCCCACGGCCCTGTTGCCCAAAAGCCACAAGGCCGAACCCTACAGAATGCCACTTGAGTACATAACCCTAACGGCCGACATACCCCGATATAGCATATACCTCGGACTTAAAGTAGTCCCTACATAGGTAGTTTAGACCCCAAAGAAACCGAATGTTAGATGAGTATATGGGCCCCTAGGAAAATCATGGCCTGACGTCCAAGCCCCAACCCGATAGGTCCGGATCAGCAACTAAGGGTTAACGTTGATAAGCATCACGGCGCAAAGGTCCAAGGGCTCAATATATGTATGTACAAGATATACATACACACTTACTTACATACATACATCATCCGGAAGGAATTTTTGCATGGTTGGGGCTTGTCTTCGAATGTAGAAACGGAGTTCTTGGACATTTGGGGTTGCAGAACCACCGCATCGGCGGGTCGCTGACACCTCTACGTCCGAAATCTTAAGCAAAACTCTAAAACCTCTAAAACAAAAAGGAGACACTTCACGCGAGACTCTTCTCCTATCGTAACCCACCAGAATAGGACCTAGTCTTTGGTCAGGTTCGTATGATTTGAGGAACAATGCCAGCAAAGAAGGACGCCCAAAGAGGACATAGGAGATTGGATTTGGGTTTACAGTTAAGCGGATCATGGTTCGAAGGTGTTGGTCGTGTCTAGTCTACGGTTTGCAAACTCGCCTTCAAGACTCGCATAGTTCTGCGTCTTCGATCAACTTAAGTACGCCAAGTACATCCAGCGAACCCCCGCCAAAACAGGGAACCTGAGCGAGTCCCAAATGCCAGGCCACTTGCTCAGGCCTCAAAGTAATGTCCCAAACCTCCCGATGCGCAAAGGGCCCGAATCGAAACATAGCACTTCCCGTCCAGCAAGAACACGTCTTGGTGGAACACCGCGACCTGTTTTGCAAAAGCTGGCTTGAAGCTCTTGGTGCGCAGGAACTTACATTGGTTTTCAGAAGATTCTAGCACTGATGCTCCGCTAGAGTCCTTCATGTAGTTATAGCGTACCGTGGCACAACCAGCACACAATATACATGCATAGGTATATATACATATATATATATACATATATATATATATATATGCTACCCCCCCCCTCAGGTACCCAGGTTTTCGTCTTTGTGCTGATAGCACGAAGGAGGTCGGACAGAAAAGGCTACAAGTGCACGCGATAAGCCGACATATAGTACTAGTAGTGAGCGTGTGTGACAAACTGCAGGGTATGGCGAAGCAGGCCTACTGAAACCCAGTAAGAGAAAGAGCTTTGCACGGCATAGAAGTGATACTGTAGCATCCCCAAGGCCATGCACGCATATTGCGGATCAAGGTGGATAGTGGCTATGTTTAATTGGCTGTCCTTATGGTTTTCTACACACGCAACAATGTCATTGCTTTGGTGGGTGTTGCAGTCTCTCACATGAATTGCTGTGTTCATGGGTTCATACAGCCATATATGGATCAAGCCTAAAGCAGTGTCATATAGTGTCAGTATACTTGTCAAAGCCTTTAATTTCCGCAACACTGTACAATGATTCATGCGTATCTGTCAAATTAGCAGTCAATAGCGACAACAGTATGAAATCGTGTTTCACGACGTGTGTGTAGGCTTCGCAATTGTTACTGCAAGTATAGTCTCCACTGCCTTAGGAAACCGATCTCCGTTTCTTTTCCCAGTCATGAAACTGCTACATGTTCTGTTCTTCTATATCGAGCTCAAAATGTCAAGTGTGGTTTTAGTATTACCTCTCACAGTGTTGCTATCACATCTTGTAAATTGCAATTATTCCTGTTACAGTGGTTATCATACTTCAACAGTACCAGGCCACTTAGGACCATGTACCACCCGGCTTGCTTAATGTCTGCATCAAGTGTTACTGTGTCAATTACTGTTCTGATTGTTCATTCAGACTGCTTCGTATATTGTTCGGGAACCTGGCTTAATAGTAGCCAAACATTATAAAGTCAATGAAGTACCTGCTGAGTCCTGTGTTTGATACATGAAGTTCAGTATAAACCTACCAGAGCACCACGTGAATACGTACACTTGTGCTTCAAAACATTTCTTGGTAGGATGATGGTTAACCAAGTCACACAGTTGCTTGCTTCTTACCTGCCGAGAGTGGGTTGTTAGTGCTTCTTACCTGCCGAGAGTGGGTTGTTAGTCTTCCAAATCAAACATGATCCAACCCGCCGGGGCTGCGTGTTACACGCTAGGTTGTATGTTGTAGTTAATTAGTTCGACTAGAGTTTTTTCGCGTCGGGTGACTTCGACATGTTTAATCCGAGTGCAGTTCATCAAAAGTGCGTGCATCATACAGGTAATATCCATTTTATTGGACGCAGAATCGTTTTCGAAAGTCTGCACCTACCAAATGATGACAAGTTGACAACGATGTATGTCAGAATTCTGGTGCACATGGTAGTCTTTTGACTACGGGCTCTTTGTTTTTTTTAAGCACTAGTGCCACACCAAAAAAGAATACACAACCACAACGACCAAAGACCCCCATGCAAACACCAAGCAACATAAGTAGATCCTTCTACATTTATCTTAAAAAGTGGGTGATTAAGCAAGCTAAGCTTGGTCGTGCAGCAATATTTGTTTTATAATAAATTTTTGAATCTTAGACATGGAGTACAGCCTTGTATGTGATAAACAGAAAACCCATGAACTGGTGTTCCCACAGTAGTGTCTTCAACCGGAGACTATGAATTACCTAGCTTCGTGTTGGACCAACTTGTGAGCCTAATCAAGGATGCAAATACCTGACCGGCTTGTCTGCAAAACGCCTCGCACGAGTACGTAAGATCTGCTCAATCGCAACTTTCGGTAACAACGTATTGAAATATGTACTGTGGACAATGCTAGTGAAGCCAGCATGTTCAACCATTCCCACGGATCTGGAGAAACTTCGGGAGCCGGAGCCGCAGTTTCGGGAATAATGGAAGTTGTTGGTAAAACCAACACTTTCCCTGATCCCCTTTCAGAGAAATCATGGAAATTGTTGGTTTTACCAACATTTCCAACAATTTCTATGAATTTGGAAAAACCTCGGGAGCCCGCGCCATAGTTTCGGGAGTCATGGAAATTGTTGGAAATGTTGGTAAAACCAACAATTTCCATGATTCCCCTCAGAGAAATCATGGAAATTGTTGGTTTTACCAACATTTCCAACAGTTTCCATGAATTTGGAAAAACCTCGGGAGCCCGCGCCATAGTTTCGGGAATCATGGAAATTGTTGGAAATGTTGGTAAAACCAACAATTTCCATGATTCCCCTCAGAGAAATCATGGAAATTGTTGGTTTTACCAACATTTCCAACAATTTCCATGAATTTGGAAAAACTTCGGGAGCCCGCGCCATAGTTTCGTGAATCATGGAAATTGTTGGAAATGTTGGTAAAACCAACAATTTCCATGATTTCTCTGAGGGGAATCATGGAAATTGTTGGTTTTACCAACATTTCCAACAATTTCCATGAATTTGGAAAAACCTCGGGAGCCCGCGCCATAGTTTCGGGAATCATGGAAATTGTTGGAAATGTTGGTAAAACCAACAATTTCCATGATTCCCCTCAGAGAAATCATGGAAATTGTTGGTTTTACCAACATTTCCAACAGTTTCCATGAATTTGGAAAAACCTCGGGAGCCCGCGCCATAGTTTCGGGAATCATGGAAATTGTTGGAAATGTTGGTAAAACCAACAATTTCCATGATTCCCCTCAGAGAAATCATGGAAATTGTTGGTTTTCCAACATTTCCAACAATTTCCATGAATTTGGAAAAACTTCGGGAGCCCGCGCCATAGTTTCGGGAATCATGGAAATTGTTGGTAAAACCAACAATTCCCATGCTTCCCCACAGACAGATCATGGAAATTGTTGGTTTGTCCAACATTTCCAGCACGTTCCATCAATTTGGAGAAAGCTCGGGAGCAACAATACAGTAGACGCTACACTTAGAAGCCCAGGGAGCCACAGTAAACGAAAACATGCTTTCCCAGAGACGCAATGACCAAGGAACACAAACAAATATTAGGGACAAGGTGTCTGGCTTGAACAGGACACAACCTGGGTACCGGGGGGGGGGGGGGTACCATATATATATATATATATTATATATATATGCTCTCTATACATATATGTGTATATGTATACACACATATCTACATATAACTGATATACACACACAGCTGCCACGGGCAAGATGTAACCATGACCTCCATCAACTCCAGAAACAATACAGAGGCCTTTGCAATAGAAACATCCTTTGGGGTATGTTCTAGAAGACCTGAGTAACAAATATGTACAGGTCTTAGGTACATGTTTGGGCTTTTTTGTTACCATCCTTGGATGAATATTATCAGCTTCAACAGCTACTAGAATCCCAAGCCCGGAGCCTCATAAGCAAGGAGTTCTGCCAGGTTCAATCTGCCAGATTCTTGTGGGTGTAGGTTCAGGGTCTTCAGAGAGCCTACTGTGAATCTGTTGCCAGCATCTGGTCTGCTTGGCCTCCCAGCTTCACCAACCACAAGAGGTATCGCGAGACATCGGGCTTCGAGAGAGAACAGCCTCGCAACCACAATCCAAAAGCCCAATCCCACATGTTCGGGTTTGGGGTTAAAGGTTTACGCATGCTGACGACTAATGCATGTCTTAATTGTCTAAGATCAAACAGCATCTACTCAGGCCCGGAAGATACCAAAGCGGTGAGGGCCTTTCGGGCATTGCAATTCCGAGCCTGACCGCCCTAACCCCTATATAAACAAGCCTTCAGCCATCTGCAGGTGAATCCCAAAACTTCAAGCCGTAAACACCAAGTGGGGTGGTGTGAAAACCCCGTGTTCAGTTCCTATACGCTAAATGGCGTTATCGTTTTTTTCTTCTTATCGTTTTCCCATGAAAGAAACTCTTACTGAAGTGTAGTACAACTGTAGTATACGGGACATGGAAACATTCGTATATCGAAAGCAGTGGTTGTGCTTCTTTGGCGTGAAGTAGGTTTAAATATACGGGATATGAAGCTGCAAGCTTAGTCTGGTAGGATTCCGATGGAGACCTTTTCACTCCGCGCTGGAGCTGTGCGTTTCGAATCCGTGCCAAAATGCATTCGCGAGGTTGGTGACGAAGCGGTTTGTGCGTGCTCAAATCGCCGTGAAAAAGTCCAACTTGGTCCCATGCTCCTCCCAACCCCGAGTGCGCGGTCCCGAATGCATTTAGAATCCGTGCCGAAATGCATTCGTGATGTTGGTGACGAAGCGGTTCCCAAATCGCCGTGTAACAGCCCAACATACCCCGCACTCCCAAACCCGAGTGCAGGGAGCAAATGTTTAGAATCCGTGCCAAAATGCATTCGCGAGGTTGGTGTCGAAGCGGTTGCCCAAATCGCCGTGTAAACAGCCGACATGCATGCTCCCATGCCCGAGTGCGTGGGCGCAAATGCATTTAGAATCCGTTCCGAAATGCATTCGTTAGGTTGGTGACGAAGCGGTTTGGGATGAGGGTTTGGGGTTAAGGTTTAAGGTTGAAGGTTAAGGGGTAGGGATTCGGGTTTGGGGTTTAGGGTCAAGGTTTAAGGTTTAAGGTCAAGGGGTAAGGATTCGGGTTTGGGGCTTAAGGTTAAGGTTTAAGGTTAAGGGGTAGGGATTCAGGTTCGGGGTTCAGGTTTAAGGTTTAAGGTTTAAGATGGTTTACGGTTAAGGGCTAGGGATTCGGGTTTGGGGTTTAGGGTTAAGGTTTAAGGTTTGAGGTTCAGGGGCAGGGAACCCGAGTGCAGGGAGCAAATGCGTTTAGAATCCGTGCCAAAATGCATTCGCGAGGTTGGTGACGAAGCGGTTTGCGCGTGCTCAAATCGCCGTGAAAAAGTCCAACTTGGCCCCAAGCTCCTCCCAACCCCGAGTGCGCGGGCCCGAATGCATTTAGAATCCGTGCCGAAATGCATTCGTGATGTTGGTGACGAAGCGGTTCCCAAATCGCCGTGTAACAGCCCAACATACCCCACACTCCCAAACCCGAGTGCAGGGAGCAAATGCGTTTAGAATCCGTGCCAAAATGCATTCGCGAGGTTGGCGGCGAAGCGGTTGCCCAAATCGCCGTGTGAACAGCCGACATGCATGCTCCCACGCCCGAGTGCGTGGGCGCAAATGCATTTAGAATCCGTGCCGAAATGCATTCGTTAGGTTGGTGACGAAGCGGTTTGGGATGAGGGTTTGGGGTTAAGGTTTAAGGTTAAGGGGTAGGGATTCGGGTTTGGGGTTTAGGGTTAAGGTTTAAAGTTAAGGGGTAAGGATTCAGGTTTGGGGCTTAAGGTTAAGGTTTAAGGTTAAGGGGTAGGGATTCAGGTTTGGGGTTTAGGGTTAAGGATTAAGATGGTTTAAGGTTAAGGGGTAGGGATTCGGGTTTGGGGTTTAGGGTTAAGGTTTAAGGTTCAGGGGCAGGGAACGCGAGTGCAGGGAGCAAATGCGTTTAGAATCCGTGCCAAAATGCATTCGCGAGGTTGGTGACGAAGCGGTTTGTGCGTGCCCAAACCGCCGTGAAAAAAGCCAATTTGGCCCCATGCTCCTCCCAACCCCGAGTGCGCGGGCCCGAATGCATGTAGAATCCGTGCCGAAATGCATTCGTGATGTTGGTGACGAAGCGGTTCGTGCGTGCCCAAATCGCCGTGTAAAAGCCCAAGATACCCCGCACTCCCAAACCCGAGTGCAGGGCGCAAATGCATTTAGAATCCGTGCCAGAATGCATGCGCGAGGTTGGTGACGAAGCGGTTAGTGCGTGTTCAAATCGCCGTGAAAAAGCCCAACGTGGTCCATGCTCCTCCCAACCCCGAGTGCGCGGGCCCGAATGCATTTAGAATCCCTGGCGAAATGCATTCGTGAGGGTTGTGATGAAGCTGCTTGATTTGAGTTGTGGAACTCTGCAGGCGCGGCGAATGCACAACATACAAGCCATCAGCAGCAAATAATGTACAAGACTACTGGCATCATAAACTGACGTTATCGTTTTTTTCTTCTTATCGTTTTTCCAGCCAAAACACTATCCTTCCAACAGGCGCCCAGCGAACACAGAACGAAGAGGCGCGGGGTTATTACACAGCCCCAAGTGAAACCACTCGAGCTCCGGTGCGAGCACCTCGGCTGTCGATTTGCCGGACCCTCCAGTGTTGCTGGTCGCCTGAGCGCAAGATCAGATGTTTTGGCACTTGGGGTAAGGATTTAGTAAAGAGGCCTTGATCGGCAGAACAAAGCTTCGGTGTATATCATGCTGTTATGATACATGTTATTTGTTTGTGCGTGTGTGCATATACATATACATATATATATATATGTTTCTATATAACTTGGGAAATTCGTCAAAGGTAAAAGTGAGCAACACTTATAGGTGCTGACAAAACTGACAGTGGGCTTGCATTTCTATTCAGACTCGCTTTAGTTTTAGAGAGTATATCGGAGGCCGGAGATCACCGAAAGGAAGCCTGAATGATCAGGCAGCTTGATTTGGCTTCTGAGGAATTCTGCTATAAGTTGTGATGTTGGAGGTAGTCCTAAGGAAGCGAATCTGGAGTGCTTCAGGCCCTTCTGCACTCCCACGAACCCTGTCATGGCCCTCTACATGGAGGTTATTCCAGTGGGGGGTTAAGGCGTGCGGCTTGACGGGCAAAGTAGAGCTACACAGCTGGATGTGACGGAGCTGCTTATAAGTCATAGCTTGTAAGTTGGCCTTCCCCAACAGGCAAGCCCGAACCGCTGCAACAAGCACAGGACGGGTTCGAAGTTGGGTTATATTATATAGTTCGGCTAAACTCCTCAAAGAGTATACGTAGTCCATGTAGTATCTGGTATCCCGGAACATCAAAAAACTCTAAACCCCAAGCCACGACCATCAAACCGGGCCTTGTTCCGCAATTCAAGGACCGATAAGAGGGAACCCAGAGTAAGAACCCGCCCTACACCCTATGACCCTGAACCCCAAGAGACACAACCTCATGCTGAGGCGAGCGCGACATGGTGGTCTGCCACGCCGCCGAAGAACAGTCGCCTCCCCAAATATAATTTGGGAAAAGCTTTGTACTGTAATTTTAGGGTTTAGGTTTTAGGGTTTAGGGTTTAGGGTCGCAACTCCGGAACAGTCTCTGCCTTGTAACCGCAAACCATGCACCCTGTAACCGAAACACATCCCTCATCTGTAAAACTCCGCAAGCGGCCCCCAATGGAAGCTCCAGAAGACTGCCTGAGCGGCTGCTCCGCGCTGACGGGGCAGTGGCCTTTGCATGTTTAGGCCTTAAAGATCCTTACAGTGGTTCCGATATATATATATATATATACTATCAGGCCTGCGTATGTACTGGGCTCCACAAAAGTTGAATGCGGATCGAGCTTCTCGAACCAAGCAGTGTTGCAAACTGTATCTTTCTGAACCCCAAGCATCCAAGGCGCCAATAACTTGGAAAAGAATAGTTACAGTTGTAGGTCGGTACTCGGGGAGCATGAGATGACAAGAAACTTCAGAGATGTTGGCAGCACTTAGGCGCAGAAAAGCTCTACAAGTCCCGAGGCAGCGCCGGCCCCTTCACAGGGCAGGGGTTCAGGGTTCATGCTTGTAGGGCTTAAGGCTTGCATGGAACCCAAGTAACCTACTGTTTTGGGGTTCCTTTTTGGGTTTTCTTCACATAGATCTCTAAGAAAGTAGGTAATATGATATGGGGTTAAGATAAACCCTAAACTCTATTCAGACTGCCCCTCAACTATGGGTGGGGGTTTATGATTTAATGCGGCTTTAGGTTTCTGGCCTCGCGGCTTTGAAGGTTCAGGGTGCAGAGCTCTTTAATCCGAAACTACCAAACAAGCTCGATGTAGGAACCTCGCCCTATATCCAAAACCCTAATACGCCACCGAGCCCTAGAGCCGACAGAGTTCAGAGTTTGGGAACCCTGTAGGCAACATCTAATGGTTTGGGGTTAAACCTACAAGTAACGAGTAGGCACAGAGCCCCAAGCTTCAGGACCCAGCAATGATCACTAAATCCTCCAATACAGAGACGGTCTACAGATACAGACCCTCAACCTAAACTCTCTATCCCACCGTGATCTCCGGAACTTCCTAACTTGACCCGGTCTTGGGTCTGGCACAAAGTCCGCTGCGGCGGCCCGGACCCTTCATGCAGTGTTTGTTATAAGTGTTGGGGTCTGGAGTTTAGGGGCTCTGGCCCAAAGGGTCCAAGTATCGCTATGGTACCTGGAGGCTCATACCCTACCCCTTTTTCAGGATACCTAGTTTTATGGTTAGGATCTGATATCTTAAAAAGTAGGCGCCCCCAAAAAGGGGTAGGGTATGAGCCTCTAGGTATATACTTATAGGGTATTTTGGGGGTCTAAGTATCTACCATAATGATACTTGGACCCTTTGGGTGGGATTATGGGCTTCCGGCCGTCGTTTGTCTTCTTGGGCATACCCGGGGCATGAAAATAGCCCAAAAGCATGGTCTTTGGGCTCAAAAGCCTTAATATAGGAGTCCTTACATGCCTAATCCCTATAGATCCCTGTAAGGACGCCTTATAGATCCCTTTAAAGGAACCCTACAGGAGTCCTTAGATGCCTAGGGCATAAACCCTAAACCCCTAAAAAGTCCGAAACGCAAGTTTAGGAATCACGCGAGCTGAAGCTGGCTGGTTCAGGTGTTGAAGCGCTGAAAGATTCCCAAGAGGGTTGATGATGTATACATATATATATATGCAATATGTATGTATGTAAGTATATATATATATATTTTTTATATATCCTGCATTACATGAATGAATTAAATATATGCCTAATTATGGGTCATGCAGGATTTAGATCATCGATCGTCGTTTTATCCACTCTGCAGTGGAAACCCTCACCGCCAAACTCATGTACCGGAATATCCGATTACTGGACCCCTATAAGGCAGATCTTCAACCTTCAACTACAGCAAAACTAAACCCCCCGGGTTTAGGGTTTAGCGGCCCCCAGCCCTCAACCCAAACCCCTATATTTATACCCGGCATCCTTAGAACACCACGCCTCGCCCGACGTGGTCACCTGCTCCCAAACAGCGCTGCCGCTGCTACCGAGAGACGCGCGCCAGAGGTCCTGCTGAACATAAGCCTTAAACTTGTAGCCTATTGAGGCTGCAGGGCTTTAGGGATTTAACTAACGGTTCAGGGCTTTAATGCTTTCTTGAGAAAAAATTCTGTTCAAAACTTTAAGGTTTGCTGGATAATTAGGGCCTGGATAATTAAGGCCTGTGGGTGCTCAAAGGGAGGCGCTTCAGAGAGCAGGTTGGCGACGGTCGGGGGCAGGGACAAGGAGAACAAGGCTCGAAGCGACGAAGTTGAAGAAACGTAGAGGCTTTGGGTCCTTCAGGGTTTGGGGTTTAGGGTTTGCATTGAGGGCTTATTTGAGGGTCCTCAGAGAATTAAGACATGGTTTAGGATTTGTTTGGTTAGTTACGTACGGTCAGGGGCTGTATCAAGTATATTTTGACCTCGAAGGACGTCGTGCCTGGCACCTGTAAATATCTTGGTACTGAGGCCGAAGTATATGAATTGGAGTACTTGGCTGAGAACCGCCAGGCCCGCTATCCCAGAAACGTCCGCCCGGACCTCCATCACCTGGAGGCTGTCGCCGCCTTTCCGCGTTGGTCGGGTGCCACCGTAGACAAAAACCTCCCCCAGAGGCTCGTTTTCTTGGGGGCTTCTACACTTGCAGAGGGTCCGGGGTTTAGAGTTCAGGGTTTAGGGCGAGTCCTCTAACCCGAGTCTGAACTATGGCTTTCAGAGGACTAGGTCTGTCTGGAACTCGTAGAGAAGGTCCTCGTATCCAGGCTTCATAGGGTCTCTTGTCTGCTGAAAGTCCTACATATATTTATGTATATATACATACACATATATATATATATTACACACATATATTCTATACCTGAGTATACTAAATAACTAACATCTTGATTCTCGAACCGGTTGGGACAAGCGGGGCTTGAGATCAAACACTTACGCTTGGGGTTTTGTCCAGTTTAGAAACTTGTGAACTATATAGTTGAGTGTTTAGGGCCCCGAACTCGCGTCCTTAACTAATCAGCCCTCAGGTACACAACATCAGCATTTTTCAGCCCTGATAGGCTTTCAGTTGCAATGGCATGCACACGTTTGATAACATGCCATCCTGTATTGACATATGTTCTCTGGTAACCATTAGCTACGAAATCATCCCGTCGGACCTACACGAGAAAGCCTGTTCTAAAGCTACCAGTACCTAAATAGTGATAGTAATAGTACGTCTGCACTTAAAGACCTACAAAGGAACCCCTTTGTAAGAACGAGTCGCAGCACGTGGACCCTTGACCTCCACCCTAAACCACAACCCCTGAACCCTGAACCCGAATGAACCCCCCTCCGCGCCGCCGCGGCTGCCGCGAAGAGCGCGCCGCCGGCGCGCGCGCCGGGCTTTGGGGCGCGGCGGTCGCTCGGAAGGAGACCTGTCGCTGCGGAAGGACACACGGAAAACCCCACCAATATCAGGACCTAGGTGGGGCTTTTAGAGCCTTTGAAAAATATTAGTAAATAAGATCCTCTTAAGCCCAATAAGGGAAAATATAAAATGTCCCAAAGCCCTACCTAGGGACTTGTATCAGAACATCATCAGAAGGAGCCTCAACGAGACAAGCTTCTGAGGGTGCAGGCAATTAAAGGTTTTTGCTGCAGACCTTACATCTTTGCCGAAAACAACCTAGCGTGTTAAGGACTTAACCAAGGAATCACAAGACTCAAGAAGGAACCCTGAAGATATTGATTTCTATGTTCAGGGGCCGTTGAACTAGCAAACCTGCTTGTTCTTGCAGGGACCCTAAAAAAGTCATAATAGGAATATTAGTATTGACCGTACTCACAACCTGCAACAAGGTAGGTTAGGGTAGCTTACGGTAAATACAAGTTGTTGCTACTAACTTAAGCTATCTTAGCTGCTAACTTACCTGTAAGTGTTAGCATCATCAGAACTTTGACAAACCGTAGCGTCGTAGTGTGTACCATGTAACCCTGTACGCTGTATTGTGGCAACTTGGAATCAGTTTCCTAAGAGGAAGGGTCGAAAAATACAGGATATAGAATGCCTTTTGTGTAAGAGGAGTACCTCCTCCGCAGCCAGTGGACCATTGAAAGGATAGGAAGATAGAAACAAAATGCTGGGTTCTTTATCTATCACTTAAAGACTGAAAAGCATGTCGCCGCTCCTCGTGTACCACGACGAAATATTTCGTCCTCTATCTATGTCGATCACTGTCGTCTCTTCCCCGTCCTTCGTTCTCTGCATCTCTGCGCGTGTGTTCCCTGAACCAAATAGTATATACTACAGTATATACTTTGGCCTTAAAGTAGTCCCTATCACAGGTACATTGGGGTCAAAGTATATATTAGTTTGAAGACATGGACCCTTAGGGCTATACTAAAACCTTTGCCTCTTAGTTCACCTTTAGAGGCCCATCTCGTCTAAGCCAAACGACGCCAGGTGTGGCTGGGCAGGTGCAGAGCGTAGAAGTCGTCCTTTGCTGCACAGCGTGTTGCGGCGAAGCTCTTTTAAGCATTGCTACCCAAGGGGTCCAAAGTACGTATTGACTAGAATGTACGGTTTCTTTACTAGGAATTATGATTTTGGGGAAGTATTCCCCATAACAGTACCTAGGACCCTTTGGGCCACAACCTCCTTGTGAGATCCATGTCTGGCTACCGATACCGTCCAACGTAGCTCAGAGTCCTGGCTTCTGACAAGGGTACCATAGAAAAGAAACCAGCTAATCAACACGAGAAAGAGAAAACATCAGTTCCGGGCACACCACAGTAATCTTTGCAACCTTCTCCTGAGTGAATCTACCTATAGTCTCCATTGTAGTTCCTTTTTTTGGTTGACCAGTTTTATGGTTAGGAACCTATAATGGAGATTTTGGTTAACCAAAAAAAGGAACTACAATGGAGACTATAGGTAGCAGCACTAACGCAGGACAAGCGACCACGCAAAGATCGAAACCCGAGCCCGACCCCAACAACCTTCGATTTCTGACATGCTGACACTGGAGTCATCCTTAAACCCTATAAACCTCTAAAACCTAGTTTGAGTCATGACAGATGAGCTTCCAGGTACGTCGCCCGTCGCTTCTTGTCTTCGGAGAAGCCGCCAAACAAGACCTCAGCAAATGCCATGACCTCTCTTCATGTGCACACCGCTTAGAAGTCTTCGACAGTGTAACCAGCATACACTTAATGTGGCAAGAACAGAAACCTAAAGAAATCATAACTCCCGACATCGCCGAGATATGCGACGCTTTTGGAGCTCTCATTTTCCAGTTCCCACAAGCTATACGGTTTGGATTCCGGTTTAGGGTATGGGGTTTATGCTTTGTAAGGCTTAGGATCTAGTATTTTTGGGTTGAGGGCATTTAGGGTCTACTACGGTTATAAGTTGGGAGTACTGGTTCAAGTTCTAGAGCATGCTAGGATCCCCGGTACACGGTCGAAGAGACTTTGTCCCGGGGACCGGGCGCGATCAAAAACGAGCCAGCTACTCTAAGCTCCCCTAAGCCTCAACCCCCAAAACTAATCGCTAAACTAAACCACGAACAATTAGTCCCAACCCAGCGTTCTTGGAGTCTGTTGCACATTTATCACCTCCACCGCCTGACGCCCCAAGTAATTAAGAACAGAACCCAGACTTCACATACACCTGAGGCAACAAAAAGCAAACTGCTCGCCTTAAGGGTTCATGTACCCTAAACGACCGTTATACGGTGGATGATATAGATCCTGCATTACCTTAAGGACCCTCAAGTATGGGAATTATGGTATATATTCCTTATTATGGGTTATGCAGGATGTATAACATCAACCGTAGGACCCGTTTCACGGCCACGAGCATGCCTATAGTAAGTAATTACGTATGCGGACATTTAGGATACCTTCAACTCGAAACCCCGAAATCCTGAGCGCGAAACCATAAATCCTAAATCTACGAGCCCTAAATCTTCTTGCGGCATAGCTGCGGCATAGTCGCCAGCGGCCGCCATGCGATGTCCCGAACGTGGGTCAGGCGACGACCCGTTTGCCTTGTCGAGTCGGTTTTAGCTTCTTCTTTGGTGGCTTTAGGGTTCAGAGCTAGCTAAGGCTTCTCTTTTAGGGGCCGTGTTTCCACCTCCAAGGGGCCATGTTTCCACCTCCAAGCATGTTCGTCTGCAAGATTCAAACAGTTCATTGGGCTTTAGTGTTCATGGCTCAGGATTACCGGGGACTTCAATTCCGTGACTCAACCCTCGTGTTGAGCTGCCTTGAACTTGGGAAGCTTATCAGGGTCGGGTTTCGTGCTTTTTGCTCACGAAGAAGGTGCACTGAGCTAAAGTCAGGCAATGTCCAACTCAGAAGTGTATCAAGTAGCAAGTTTTCATAATGATGAAGTTGGGCTTGGAGTTTGCACGTTAGGGCCAACCCAGACCTGCAAACCCAAAACGCTACCACCCACTTCGAGGCCCAGATAGGCCCGAAACCACCAGCCCCGAATCAAAAACCCTCTAACACCCCCCAAAGATGAACATCGCAACTAGAAAATAAACTCTAAACTCTAAACCCTAAACCCCTAAACCCTAAGCCCTGAACACCCAAAACCCTCAAAAGCCAGCATCTTCGTCCACATAGACCTCGATCTTCTCCCAGCGCGAACCGGGCCGGCCAGCGGCGTCAAAGCGCCAAAGGTCACTGAATTGACCTTCAGACCCTTTAACTTACCTTTGGTTAGTAGGGAATGGAGGAATGGGGTACAAGTATAACTACTGCTACTACCATTCGTCCATTTCCTACTAACCAAAGGCCAGTTAAGTGGCGTTTCGTGTTGTTGGTTTTGGGTCGAATAGGGTTTATTTATAAAGGGCTTAGGGGTTTGGGGTTTAGGCTTTTAGGGTTTGTCCGGCTCGTCCTGGGGTTCAGGATTTCGGAGTCGGTGCCAACTCTTAGGGCGAAGGTTGATAATTCTGTGGGGATCGGCCTTGCGGATTTCAATCTTGGGGTTAGTCTGCTGGGCTTCGCTGAAGTGGCCGTCGAGCTTCGAACGTCTCATAATGTAGACTAGACAGAAGGCTTCTGGGCTGTGTTAAGCCAAAACATGTGAGTTTCGTGGCCTCGTTGCTTATAGGGTTGCAGGCTTGGTTTAGAGCGACGGGTTCAGGACTACGGGTGAAAAGGGGAGCACATCCGCTTTACTGATCTATGGGGTAAGATCTGAAGTGCTGTGTTTAGTGTTTAGGGTTCAGGGTTCTCCCCACTGTATGACAACACGTTGAAGGGTTTAGGCTGATAGGGTTACAGGGGTTGGGGTTTGAGGTTTAGGGGTTGAGGGTGTGTCACTGGTGTCGTCGATAGGTCGCAGACCCGTTGTCTTTTCCGCCCTAAACGAACTGGGGTTCAGCAATACACTACACCGAATAGCAGGGGGTCTAAGTACACAACGAGCATAACTCACTTGTTGAATATCGGGCCCCTTCAGGAAGACATATATCTATTCAGTAAAGTTTGCGTGTCTGAAGGTTGCTTTAGGAGCTCTAATAATACCTGCAAGCTTCCATGTACCCATATAGCAGGTACTTAGGCCTTAAAGTAGGCCATATAGGGACCCCTTTAAGGCCTAATTACCTGCTATATGGGTACATAGAGCCTTAGGGTTAGGGGCTCGGAACTTGCAAGGCTTCCAGCATTTTGGGTTGGCTTAGGGGTTTAGGGTTTAGGGTTTAGGGTTTAGGGTTTAGGGTTTAGGGTTTAGGGGTGACATGGGAAACCAAGGGTGGAACCTACCTGCAGTCTCTATTGTGGTTTCTTCTAGGATCCCAAATATAAACTGCTTCAATCCAATAGAAGAGCTACAGTGGAGACGGTAGGTATATGGGGTCAAGGCCTCCAAGCTTTGTTGCTCCGGGCGGCAGGTAGTGTTGGGTTCTTTGCAGCCGCACGAAACTGAAACCCAAAGCTTTCTCTGAAAGCTTTTTGCTTTTGGGAAGGCAGGGCTTGATGCCTGAATTGCAGAAGGTCAGGGCTTGGAGCTTCGAACAAGCATCTCTACATCAATCCGTCTCACGGCTTTGACCCGGTACGTCGCCGCAAGAAAGGATCATACCTGGACCCTGAACACTTCTCTACTAAACCCGAAACGCCAAAACCCAATTGAACCCCCAAACCAACAACCCCGAAACCGCCTAAATCCATTCAAGCACGCTAAACACTGCATCTCAGAGTGGCGGTAGCGCTTCTGGTCTCGGCTCGACCACTCTCCGCCGAAGACGTAAACCTCGGAAAGAGTCGGATCTATGTTTTGGGGGACCTCTGATTCCATACTCGTAGCATATATGGACCTTCTCGGTTATGACAACAGTAGCAAGACTGCCATCCGTATCAGGGCTTTGCTTCATCAGATACTCGCTTTTGGGTTGAGCCAAAGCCACCCTGAAAAAGGTGCTGCGGCTTCTACTTGGGGGAGCGACCTAGTTACGCGCGGTGAGCCACCAACCCCGTCATGGTCAACCCACATTCTGAAACATGCTGTTCTTGTACTATACTTCATTTCATGTAGGATGTTTTCGGTAAAGCAGAAAGTTTGTACACCCATATTACAGGAGCTAGATACTCTTGCAATTTGAAACTAGATCCAACTCCTTGGCAAGAGCCCGGAACATGCGAACATGCAAGGTTTGGTGCAGCTTGAGGTTTTGGAGTAGTATAACATGGTACAGTCATGACGATAAGGAACCAGAACGAACTAAGATATCCAACTGTTCCGGCTTCTGTAGTACAGGTGGCAACAAGTTGGACAAGACACCGAAAACAGCAAGGAAGCGTCGGCAGCCCGTTCCGACCGACAGGAGGGTACTGAGATTCTGGTTGGCTTCTGACTGATTTCACGATTTCGGCATCTACTTCACTTGCATACAGATCCTGAGGGGTCCAAAACCTTTCAATACAAAAGACACCCTGAATACCAACCTGAACATGCTTTTCCCACTCAACCGAAAGACGTGCCGACTAGGTAAAAAAGGGGCCTTGGCAATTCGACTTGGACTTTGGGGCACATTTTAGTAGAAATATCAAGAGGAACCCTCAAGCAAAGATGGTGGTAATCATATTTAGGCTCCTATATCACTTGTGTTTTGAAGGGAAGGGACGTTGCTGTCGGAACTGCAGACTAGACAGAACTAGACTTCACGGGCAAGACTGCTGGAAGGAACCTAAACCCCAAACCCTTCTTCACAGGCCGACTTGGTTAGAACCCTGACTAAGAGAGCCAAGCTGCGAAGTTGTTCCACGCCACTGCCTGCTATGCAGCTCAAGGTCATTCAGACTCAACGTGGGAGCTTAAGGCTGAGGTCCTCATGTTGGACAGCCGAAAACGAACATCGAGGTACAGTGACATCGTGGTTAATGAGAACATTCAGTATTCAGTCCTGAACGATTTTCGCATCTTAAACAGTGGTATCATTCACCGGGCCTTGCCGACCAAGCAGAAATCTCCAAAATTCTACACATTCTCAAACCTCAACCCTGCACCCCAAAATTCGAATCCCCACTCCTCCGCCCTACATTGCAACATTGCAACAAAACTAAGCTTCCCATTCCTCAACCCGAAACCCTAAACCATTAACTCCTAGCCCCTACAACCGAAACCCAATACCCATCTAGGTTGGCCCTTGAAAGCCTCTGAATATATTTCTAAATGGGGTCTTATTCAGCCCGAAAAGGGAACATTTAAAAAATCCCAGGGGCCTACCTAGCCATGTTACAAGGCAAAGAAAGGCCCGGCGCTCGGATCCGACCGTTCAAGTCCGAAAGCAAAAGGACACAAGTACTATCCCTTAACTGAGGAATACCTTAACCCTGAATAACCTACCTTTTTCGGGTTCCTTATTTTGATTTCTTTGTACAGGTCCTTAAAAATACAGGTTCTTCGGGGTTAAGGTATAACTTAAAACAGTTGGTTCCCTAATATGATGTGAAGAATATATGCCGTCATTAAAGGCTATTGATATTGGAATCTCTGGGTAGCAGAAGCAGTCAACAGGACCAGGCACCTCCTAAATGGCCCCTGAACAATAAGGCTGCCCTTTTTACTACTCTTTGGTTTTAAGAAGGGGCCCAAAATAAACAGTGCAAAAAGGTGCGACTCAGGAATCAAGTAGCAAAAGGAGTTTCAATTCTGGGGACTGTGAGGGGCTATTGGTACTAAAATGTACTAGATATCCCGAACTCTACAATGAAGCCGAAAAAGAAAACTCGGACCCTTCCACTCGCCTGGTGTGCGGAGCGCGCATCCGGTCCCGGGATCATCGGCACTGCAGAGTAGAGTTTCCTGTGCGAGCACGAGAGTTTATAGTAGACCCAGAAAAGTTGGATGCCGGATAAAGGACAGCTCGGGCTGGGATTCCCTATACATTACTCATCAGGATTGCGGCTATTGGGTTTCCAAGATTCTGGCTGGGGGCTTGCAGGCTGTACATGTTTAAGTGCTTGATTCGGGATTGATTGGGGCTAGTCGCGAGCTGACAGGGCTTAGGAGTCTGAGCAGTTTAGAAGGTCGAAGGGGGCTTTTATAGGGTTTCTCATAGAGAAGGCCTGATGCCGCAGATGTTTTAGGGCTTTCGGGGTTGAAGGTCGAGGCTGATGACTGTCGCTGTGGCGACCTCCAAGAACAAGTCGCGAGCCGACAGCCAACCCCCGACTCGCTGGAAAAGAAGGCTGCAAAACTAAACCCTACCTATATTCTCCATTGTAGTTCCGTTTTTTGGTTAAAAAAGTTTTATGGTTAGGATCCTATAATCGAGATTTTGGTTAACCAAACAAAGAACTACAATGGAGACTGTAGGCAAACCCTAAACTCCATAAAGAAGGGTGAAACCAAATGCAGGAACCCGATGAAGAAACTCCCGCCGCTCCCACAACCTCAAATCAAAAACCAGTCCAGGCTTGAAGTTCGGCATTCCGGATTTCCCCAAAGGGTGCTAAGTACGATGTAGTAGAATGTAGGGTTTCTATATTAGGAATAACCATGGAAGTATCTCCCATAACAGTACCTAGGACCCTTTGGGTCGAGGCATAGGTGACAACTATCAAGTTGCAGCCAAATGGCTCCCAAGGCAGAGGCACATCTGTCTCCACTTTGCCTCGTGCCCGAGCCCGAGCTAATTTTAGTAGCCCCTCCAAGACCCCTTTAATGTAACCCCGATAGTAAACCCTTATAGTAACCATCTTGATAACCCTCCTTGTGCTTCAGAGTCCCTTTGTGGCTCTTAAGGGGTTTGGGGTAAAACAAGACCTTAAAAGACCCTGAACAAGGACAGCAACGCTGAAGCCACGAGGCCGAACCTTTTAGGGTTTAGGGTTTAGAGTTTAGGGGTTTAGGGTTTAGGGTTTAGGTGATGCTAGCTATCAGTAGGGTGCAGTGGTTTGCGGGGCCTTTCAAGCCACATGTGGGATGTCATTGTTCCGGTTTAGGTGTTTACCAGTCAGGAGCAAGAACGACGTGACTCCAGAAAACTCACGAAACTTCTGCCGAAGGGGCCAAGATCAAGTCGGTAAAGGTCCTGATTTGGAGCAGGGTTGCTTAGGAGTTATGTGCGTGGTAAGAGGCGCCTGAGGGATAATGGTGGGTGCAAATGTTGAGTGTCATTTTGAGGACAATGGCAAGATTCACCGACCTGCTTCAGTGGGGTTTGGGAAACAGCCTGGGTGCGGGGTTCACACGAAGCACGCTATGACAGAAAATCTTCCGCCTTTTTGCGCACAACTCTAATAACAACAAACAAGCATGATTCGGCAACTCCCCCTGAAATCATTATCGTATGCTGAAAACCATTTTGATTCGAGGGGGGTTGAGGAGCAAGGGCAAGAGCAGGAGCAACGACAAGCGCACGAGCAAGAGAAAGAGCAGGAGCAAGGGCGGCAGCAAGAACCGCAGTGGGAGCAGGAGCCAGAACGGTAGAAGAAGCAGCATCACCCAGAAGCGACGATGAAGATGAAGCCCCCTTAGAATACGGTTTGGGGCCCATTATACTATAGTTATAATAAGGAACCGACAAATATAGTATAGGTAATCATTATAGGGCCCCCCATATTAATGATAACCCCAAATAAGTTAAGCAACACACCTCTCGAGCGTTTACTTGGGGTGGGCCCTTGGCTAACCTGAAGGGAAACGAATAACCTGCTTGATTTTACCGTTTGTCGGGCCATCAGATAGCAATCTAAGTAGGTAGCGGTGGCTTAAAGTCGATACCTCTGAAGATTCAACCACATTGACACACAAATCTAGAAGGGCTGCAGACGTTGTGGTCTCCGGTTTGCGGGGCTGAAAGGTCTCAACCTGGAGGATACCGATAGTGTTAATTATCCTTCAAGGGGGTTTAGGGCTTAGGGGATCCTTTAAGTAAGGGTTACTATAAGGGTTACTAAGTGCAGTTCCTTTTCTGGGTTAACCAGTTTTATGGTTAGGATCCTACAACAGAGATAGGAAATACAATGGAGACCATAGGTGGAGATAATCAGGGTGTGTTGAGCTTGGCGCTGAACCTATTCCCTCTCGGGAGCCGATGTGCGCCATACAGTACGCTGTTCGCAGCACAGTGGTGCATATCATCATTACTGCATAGCTGTAATAAATACATCCTTAAGGAACCCTAAACCCTAAACCCTTAACCGTATTAGTATTTTTACTCTGCCTAGGTTCCTGAGCAGCCCCTTTATAATAAGGGTTTGCCTACTATTCGGTTTTGACAAGGGGACGATAAAACAAAAAGGGCAAAAGGTACTACGCAGGAACCTAGCTGTCCGAAGGCTCCGGACATCCAGGCCCCCAAAGCCCGAACCCACGGAACAAAATAGAAAAAAAACATAACTCTCGAGGGGTCCTTACATTTAGGATTCAGGGGTTTAGGGGTTTAGGCTTTAGGGTTTGGGGTTTGGGGTTTGCGGTTTAAGGTTTGAGGTTTAGGAAAGTACATCAAGAACACTCTCGACCTAAAGCCTAGGCACTGAACCTATCCATGAAAACCTGAAGCATGCACAAGTAACTATATCCTAAACCTAAATCTTAGAAACTTAAACCATAAATCCTGCAAGCCCAGATCCTCGAACTTGCCTGTGTATAAGAGTGCAATATTGAATTTTTGTGGACTTAAATGAGGCAGCTCTGCCCATGAACGCTAAACCCTAACCCCTAAACCTGTGGAAAGCTATACCCTCAGGGTCCATGTATCCAAATAGCATATACTTTGGCCTTAAAGTAGTCCCTATTCAAGTACTTTGAGGCCAAAGTATATACTATTTGGACACAGTGACCTTAGGGATACTATAACCCCTAGAGATCCCTTACAGATCCCTTATAGAACCCTAAACCCTTCACACCTGAACCCTAAACCTTCCAAGAACTACCCATGAACAGCCAGGGCTTTGAGTAGACCCTAAACCCCTTCAGATCTTCTTAGAGGAACCCTTAACTCAAAGGATCCCTATTTGGGTACATGGACGCTTTGGGATACCCATGAACAGCCAAGGCTCCGAGTAGAAGGTCAACTCGCGGCCGTCGTAGGCTTCCCCTCCGAAGAGGAGAATCTCTTCGCCTTGAGCAGGCTAGCGGTTTCAGGTTTTAAGGGGGTTAAGCTTTTGCGGTTCAGGGTTTAGAGCTTAGGGCTTAGGGGTCTTCGATTTTGCGGTTTAGGGCTTAGGGTTTAGGAGTTTAGGGTTTAGGGTTTAAGGTTGATGGTTCATTTAGGGTTCAGGTTTCGGGCTCTTTCAAGAGTTCCTCTGAGGGCACACCAAAGGCTCTACTACACTGAACTTAGAACCCTAGCAAAATTATAACATTAGCTGTTTCTTCGGGATTATAATAACAGAAAATTAAAAAATATTTCTAAGTACCCCTAAGTCCCTAAGTCTACTACAAAGGGTATCGAGTTTGAGGGTTTAAGGGTTCGAGGTCTCGGGATCCTGTGTTCACGGACACGCTGTATTGGTATCCTATGCCAGTTGACAGCTAGGAAATTGAGGCTCAGGGTCTAGGGATCTACAATGGAGACAAGGGGTGAGAGGTGAGGGCCTGGGATGGTTCAGGGTTTTCGGATTAGGGTTTGGTGTTTTTGGCTTTTTGTAACAGCTACTGGAAGGATTCCTCCCAGGGTTTCAGGTGTACAGAGAGATTCTGGCGGGACTTCCTGCTCCCTGTCAGCATCCCTTCGCTGCATGCGTCTTGGCCAGCAGAATGCCATGCACGGGCCCCTAACCAAACGAACCTAGCAAATGCAAGCACAAAACTAATTACCTTGCAACTCCAAACCTTATAAGCCATGATAAAAGCCCCCCCCCCCCCCCCAGCTGTAACTATCGCTACTCGTCGAACGTCGCGCCTCCCCGGCCCGTGGCTAGGCTCCGGGTAATGGAGAAATGGCTCCTGCCGAAACTGTCACGGAGGTAAAACTTTCCGGCGGAGTTGTGCGTATGAGGTCTGACTTGAATATATGTGGCATAAGGGCGAAAACAATCAGTAAACCTCCCCATCGCAATTCCGATATGGGTGGTGTTCCCTTTTTGGGTCCCCAGTATAGCACGGCACCTATTATTTAGGGTACCCAAAAAGGGACCCTCATTTTCACGACCACCCATAAAACACCTCTAGACCCCTAAAGCCTGAAGCCCGAATCACCCTTTTCAAGCAGAGCGACCCACGCAGAATCTTGAAGGTTGGGGGTTCTACTTAAAGGTTCATGGGACTTAGTATATAAGATTACTATTAGTGCAACTATACTTATAGCTACTTCTAACCCCAATAAAGGCACCTATAACCTTACTTACTAAGTCCCATGATCCTCCAAGTAGATTCTGGACCATGAGTAACACTCACACGCCAAACGAAAAGCAGGCCCTGCCATACCCTCGTCAGCGCAAAGCCAATCAAGAGCAACGCAAGAGCCTGATGAATCAAACCCCCGGATTCTCAATGTTCCCCCGAAATATCATCCATGTTATTCAGGTATTCCATGTTTAGAATCCCAAAGGCTCCATGTACCCAGACAGGAAGTACTCAGGCCTGAAAGGAGCCATATTTGGACCTCTTCAAGGCCAAACTACCTACTATATGGGTACATGGAGCCTTAGGGAATCTTTAGAAGATCCCCCCTTGGGTTCTTACTGAATGCATGGCGGGCATCCCGCCTCGGCCAAGGGCGAAGGAAGGAGGTCGTGGCTGGCCCGTGACCAACAACTAGCGAGAACTCCTGGCTGCGGACTTCGGGGTGAAGCTGCGGCAGTTACGGAATTAGGGCTTTAGGGTGTAGGGTGTAGGGTTTAGGGTTTAGGGCTTTAGGGTGTAGGGTTTAGGGTGTAGGGTTTAGGGTGTATGGTTTAAGGTTTGGAGCTGCGGCAGTTACGGTTCAGCTTGACGTGCTCATAGCTGGGAGGTCTCTCATCGTGACCTTCATAGTCAAAGCGTGGTTGCAGGCTCATGGTGTGCTATGATGCTTTCATATGGTTGCTCAGTATGAGGTTGAGTCTCTCGGTAGAGTTTTTGTGTTTGAAGTCACATGCCGGGGTCCTCATCAGAATAAGAAACCCTTTTGAAGTAGATACGGAGCAGAGCCAATCCCATGCCTTGCCGCACCCCTATCCCAATCTTCCGGATTATCGGCTTGCCCTTTGGTCGTCTTGAGGCTGGGGTGCAGCGCGGAATCCGATAAGCCGAAACACTGAACCCCTCGAACTCAGTCCTGTGCGTTCTCTTCTGCGAGGTCTGCTTCCGGAGCCTCACTCTGACGAAGAGAGCACTTCGGGATTTAGTAAGGGGGCTAGCACCCCTCAAGCCTAAGTACTCACGAGGGAAGTACCATAATGCCTCTGTCAGAGGGAACTTGAGGGGGGGCTGGTAGGGTTTAGGAAATTACTTGGAGGTTCAGGGGTAGTTATAAGTTATAAGTAGGGTTGTAAGTCTATAAGTCACCTAATACGGGTTATAAGTATAGTTACCCTACTTACAACCCTACTTATAACTACCCATGAACCCTAAACCATATACCCTTATCTTATCGAACCCCAATTGATCCCTTTAAAGGGCCCCTATGAACCCTCCTTATAACTACCCATGAACCTCCAAGTAAACATGTGTCAGGTAAGTAAACTCTTGCGTTTCCGACCTGAAGGATCCTTACTTAAAGGATCACGGGACTTAGCAACTAAGGATATTATTAGGGTAACTATACTTATAGCGACTTAGAGCCCCAAGTAAGGTACGTATAACCATACTTACTAAGTCCCATGATCCTCCAAGTAGGGCCTTCAGAGAGACGAGTCTAGTGCATACATAACTGGGCTCTTGTTCTAAGGGGTTTAGTTTAAGTTGCCATACTAAGAATCTGTAGTAAATAACATGGCTTCTCTATCATGGTAGCTCACAAGCTAATTCCTTACAACAAGACCCCGGAGAAGCGAACGGGTTTTAGGGCCAGGGGAGCCGTGAGCCGCTTGAGACCCTACCTATACTCTCCATTGTAGTTCCTTTCTGGGGTTACCTTATAGGATCATAACTACATATTTGGCTAAACCCAAAAAGGAGCTACAATGCAGACTATAGGTATATGCCTACTTTGTGGGATGATGAATCACTCGGCCCCAAAACCCTAGGGATTTAAGGACTCAGTTAAAGAATGCTTTGGGCCCAAAGACTGTTTTTATGTAAGGCTTTTGGGCTAATTGTTTCGTTTTCCAGGGCAGCGCTCCGGGTCCATGTACCCAAATAGCGTGTTTGGGTACATGGACCCTTAGGGAAGCAGCATACCCTGTGAGGGCTACCACTACAGGAAGCTTCGCATTACGGTTGTTAGGTTTCCGGATCTCACGGCTCACGAAGTCATGGCCTTAGGGTGGGTAGGGTTTCGGGGTTCAGGAGTCAGGGAGTCAGAACCTAGGAATCAGGAACAAAGCGAAAGCATTACCTCTAAGACTTTGAGAAAATGTAGAGCACAAATGCTTGGAATTGGTTCTTGGGGTATACGACAGACAAGTATAGTGAGGAGCCCCGATGAAGCTTCTTTATCGGGGCATGGGGACGCGAACGAAGAAGCGTGCGAGCCTCCTTGGGGGAGAAGCTGGCAGGGGGCGCTGTGGCGCCCTTAGACCGCTTGCCAGTCTGCCTGAGTTTCGGGTTGTTGAGACGGAACTGAAAGTCCAAAGGAGCCACTGAAGACGAAAGTATCCGGACACTGCACAGCTGACGCCAAGCAATTGGAACATAAAAGTCCAAACCCTAACACTGCATCTAGACCCAAGAGTAACCCAGGCATAAAAAGGATGCCCTTTTTGGTTTAAAGGGGCTTATAAGGGAACCTGAACCCTAAAAAAAGGAATAAGGGCCTACTCTGGGTCCTAGGCATGGAGCTCTGAGAACGGTGACTGGAGGGCTTCGGTCATGCAGGGTCTAATACACGGGCCGGCCTCATTCGCCCCCACATCTTCCAGTATTCTTCCGTTAAAGGAAGGCAATGAAGACAATTATAACTACAGAGCTTAGTTGTTCAAACTCTTGTTTTCATTGTGTCTCTTTCGTTTACGTCATTTATGTGACAACAAAGAAGGATCTAAGTACACTCCTAAATACATTGAGTTTGAAAGATCATAGTGTCAGAAAAGTGCTTGGAGGCGTTATGGGGATTGCTGAACAGTCTACCCCGAAATGCTTTTCTGTTTATTAGATATTGGGTATGTATAACGACCGAAGATCTGCACGGTCTCTTCCCATGTGTGCGCGAGGACCTGACTTAAAACCTTCGTTCTATCTGTATGTTAAAAAAGCTGCGAACCTGTTCATCAATCAGAGCATTTCTGCATCTATCTATCTATCTACCTGCCTATCTAACTCAAGATGTATCTATCTATCTGTCTATCCATCTATCTACCTCTCCAGCTCATATGCATGTGCAAACGACAACTTGGGTTGTTCGGGCAGTCTAAACCCTCCTCCCAAACTGAATCTCCGGACCGGGGTCCAGGGTTTCGGATTCAAGGGTAAGTGTACGGGACATACTCAATCCCAAGAATGCAAACCTCGCCGCCCTAAGCTGGCCCCTAAGCATCAGAAGCCCCATGAAACGTCAAACCACCACGCAAAAACCTCGGCACTGACACCCGAATGCCCCATTTCCTACAAAGCTCGGAATCCGAAGGCCCGCATCTTGAAAAGGAACAGGCGGGGGCGGTATCTGGGATTTCTATTTTGTTGCTCAGGGATGCCTTTACATTTCCCAAAGGGTCCAAGTATCATTATGGTATATACTTAGACCCCAAAATACCCTATAAGTATATACCATAGCGATACTTGGACCCTATGAGTTTGTTATAGAAACAAAACCAAGGTCTTTCAGGGGATGCTAAGGAGCTCGATTGAAGTTCTCATAGCAGGGACAAGCGACAGTTGGCCTTCGGTTTTTTGGATAAGTGAAAAAGCAAGCTCCTCAACAAGAAAACCGGACGGTTGATGATATACATCCTGCATTAATCATAATAAGGAATATACCATAATTCCCATAGTTTAGGGTCCTTAAGGTAATGCAGGATTTATATCACCAACCGGAGAATGCATCTCAAGCGGCTTCTCCTGTCTCGCCGCCTGGCAAGCTCTGCCCGTCTGCTGGTAGATATTCTAGGACCCATACGGCTGATGACATAAATCCCTAGGGTTCCCCGTAAAGGGATCTATAAGGGTACCTTTAAGGGGTTCCTTTAAGGGATCTATAGGGGGTTGAGGGTTGATGATATAAAATCTGCATTACCTTAAGGACCCTAAACTATGGGAACTATGGTATATTCCTTATTCTGGGTAATGCAGGGTTTATATCATCAACCGATACCACTACCAACACCCAAACACTGAGTACCTGGACCCTCGAGCAAGAAATAGCAAGAACCTCAAAAGCTGATGTTTCCCTGCATATCACTAGGACCCCTCATAGGTGTTCAGGTAAGACCTGATCGACTCTTCTACGAGAGTTGCTTCGTCTATGCTCATTGGTGGCCCTTTAAATTTCTAAATTTATGCTTGGCAGACCACACGTAGGCGTCTTCTGTTTCCAGACAACAGACGAGTCCCGTAAGACAGCTCATCTCTCGAACATGAGCGCTCGTTCATGCTGACAGCCAACAGGAGAGGGCCTCTGTCTCAAAACAAGGACAACAGAACATAGAGCCCTGTATGTCGGCTTGCTTGAGGCTTAAATGGGCTCCTGCATGTCTGGACAAGAAACACAAAAAAAGCTCCCTATAGCCATTGCGAAAGCAGCAAATGAGCTTTTCTGTCTCACCACAAGAACTGTCGAAAGCTATATAAGGAAGCAGTCTTAACTAGAACTGTAGGACATCTGGAAGTACGTAACGCTTGGCTCGCCTGCTGAATGTTGTCAACTCTCAGCCGTACGCACCATCATTCCTCAAGCCTTAACCCTCGCCCCCACAAACAATGAACCCTATACCTAACCAACAAGTGTGTACCGCCGGAGACGCCGCCCTACAGCCTGAAACCTTCGCAACCTGCGTATTACTACACTCGAAAAAAGTCCCAAGCCTTGATCTCTAACCCTATAAACCTAAAGGCCCTACAGTAGAAGCCAGAAAGTTGGAATATGGATTCATGGTAGGATCCCCTATAATTTACCTTAAAGGGGTTACGATAATGATATTCCAACTTTCTGGCTTCTACTGTAACACTCTAAAGCCTTGTAAACCCTGAAGCCCAAAACCCAAAAAGCACCAAGTACGCCCGGAACAGGGGCGAAGAGAGACCTCGAGCGCCGAGGCTTTTGCCGACTTCTCGGCCGAGCGCTGGGCCTGTCAAGTTGAGGCTTTCAGGGTTTAGCGGTTTAGTGGTTTCATCTAACTTCCTAGATCCTTGGCCACAAAGCCTAAAACCCTCAGACCCTGCAACAACCCCTTTAGAACACATTAAATTAAAGGACCTGAGAAGGAGCCCTTAAAACCTCCGACAAAGCCCCAAGAAGCCTAAATCTCGAAATGTTTAGGGTTGCAGGCTCATGGTATACTTAGAGGTTGAGGTAAACCCTAAATAAACCCCTCAAGTCCTAATCCTTAGACCCCTCAGATCCTAATCCCTAAACTCCTCAAAGCCCTAAACGGTAAAAACACCGACTTTAACCGCAACGCCCTCAAACCCTAATCCCTAAACCCCTAAACCCAAAACCCCTTCAAACCCTAATCCCTAAACCCCTCAAACCCTAAACGGTAAAATCACCGAACCCTAGACGGTAAAATCACCGAACCCCCATCGCTCTCCGATGGCCTTCCGCTCAGCTGCATCTGCCTGGCGCCTGCAAGTGCTGCTTGGGCTTAGAGCTTGTCTTACAGGCAAGCATGTGGATCTATGATATGATATATACATATATATATATATGTATATATATATATAAATATAAGTATAAATATAAATATAAATATAAATATTAATATTAATATAAATATAAATATTAATATAAATATTAATATTTATATATATATATATGTATATATATGTATATATGTATATACTTATTTAGTTATGTATGTATCTGTATGCAATATAACATATGTATATGCACACATTACACATAAACTGTGTGTGTATATATACATAGATTATACAGGTTGTTTCAGTACATAACATCTTGGCATGTAGGGCTGCATGTGTGTTTGTGTATGTCTGTGTTTGTGTGGGCGTGTGTCAGTGAATTAAGGGTTTAGGGCGTTAAGGTTGTAGGGGTTCGGGAAATAAGGGTCATGGTTTAGGTGGTTTAGGGGGAGGCATCAAGGTTCAAGTTTGCGCCGTTTGGTGCTTCGGAGCAAATGTACGATTCCCACAGCATCGCACGAAACCAGCTTACGAGATGACATGGAGTCGAGGGGCACGTCTTCCACAAGCCCTAGGGGTCCATGTACCCAAATAGTATATACTTTGGCCTTAATGTAGTCCCTATATAGGTACCTTGGGGTCAAAGTATGTACTATCTGGGTACAAGGACCTTTAGGGCAAGCGAATGGGCGAGCAGTTGCAAACGGACTGGCATGCCGGGCAAGCTTCGAGTCAACCACAAGTTGAGGTCTGTACGAGCCGAGTTCTAGCGTAATGCCTAAACCCCAAACCGTGGATCCAGGTTGAGGGTTTAGATGATTCGCGCCTTAGGGTTTCAGCTTAGGTTACGATTTCGGGCCTGGCTAGGATTCAAAAACAGCACGAAGGCAAAAAGGAGGGTACGGATGTCCCATATGAATCCTGTCATCATGAAGCCCGATTAAGGTTGGGATATTCGGATATCCTTGCAACATGCTTCTGCTTATGTTCTTGTTGGGTCCCGAACTTTCAGCATAGGGCAAGGAGTTTGGCTTTAACAATTGTCGCTTCTAACCTTATGTACTACCCCAATCCCGTGAGTACAAACTCATGTCAATAAACATGTATGTAAACTGCAATTAGAGCCCAAACCCTCTATGAAAAACCACAAACCAAAAAGGCTAACACCCTAAACCCTCTGAAACCTCAAACCCAAAACCCAATCGAAACTGAACTCCTGAAGCCACCGAAACCTCAAACCTAAACCTCGCTGGTCTCCTCCAACAGCCTCTAACCAACCATCCTGCCTGGCCGCGGCGTCTGCGGCGGCACCCAATTGTGCAACGATGCGCTCCACCTCCGACAGCTGCAACGCTTGAGGGTTTGAAGGGTTTAGGGTTCAGCGGCTCAGGGTTATTTAGGGTTTCGGGATTTTCACGGTCTTGCTGGAGCCAGGTCGGCGCACGCCAAATTCGAAGCATCTGTACAACAAGAAAACCATCCGACGGAATGGTGCCAAAGTCGCGGGTTTTCGGGTTTAGTTTAGGGTTTAGGTTACTGTTTGAGCTGCCTGGGGCTTAAGTCAAGGCCTAAGGCTTACCAAAATTTTAAAAGGTCAGTACTACAAGGGCTACAGAACTCAAAACGGTTGGGGTGTCCAGGACCTCCTCCTTCTCGGCGCGCGGCAGGCGCCAAAGCTTTCCTAAGGGTCCATGTACCCAGATAGTACATACTTTGACCCCAAAGTACCTATAAAGGGACTACATTAAGGCCAAAGTATATACTATTTGGGCACATGGACCCTTAGGGCTTGTCAGGGGACACTGCAGTAATGAACCCGATGCAGTCGCCACGGGAAAACGCCGGGTAATGAGCACGAGCGACTTCCGGCAGTGTCACACCCAAGTTGGGCTCCGTGTAGAGATGGAGCTCGATCCTCTTGGTCGTGGCATTGGGACCACGGATGAATTTTTTTGCGCTGGCGCACCGACTCATGCGCCAAAGCCAGCCAAACAGTCAGCTTCTCTCCTTCCGTGTGGCTGTGGATGGCTTGGGACGGGTCAAGCAAGGCCAACGTGCGTGTCTCAGCAGGAGTGCCAACGAAGCCCTTGGCATTCTTCTGGGAGAATCAAAAACCCTAAACCCCTAAACCCTAAACCCTAAACCCCTAAACCGGCAACTTGTCCAGAGTAGCTTCGTCCTAAGACATCGGCAGATTGATGAAACAACAGTGAAATTCAGGTTTGGGCCAGTCTACCCTGGGACCTACAAGCCCAGTGGCCTGCATAGAAGGCTGCTGGGCTACGAGTACCGTAAGGTTATATAGGGGCCGCAATAATGAGAATTGGGCTTTGGGGGCGCATTATACCATAATTATAATAAGGAACCCCTATATAAAAGAGTATGGGTATTTATTGAGGCCCCTATATTACACCTAAAGCTGAAGGAGCAGTAATCCACTGCGCAGGTGGCTGTGCTTCTCTACAGTTAGATACAGCCTTTTACCAGGACACCAGGACACCCCAACAGCGATCTTAACTGAAGCCCTTTTCTGGTCTTTAATCGTGTATATGTGGTAGAGTTAGGGGGATGGTGGGGGGTGGGGGGGTCTAGGTGAGTTTAAAGAACTATAAGGGCTTATCGGGTTGTTTTGAGGTTTCGAATTTTTGGGCGTTAGCGGCTGGGATGGCACCCCCCAAGCCCTCCTCGCCTCCTCCTGGATAAACTGGAAGATGCGTGTTGCCGTCGGCCCAATGTGCCGGTTCCTGAGAAAGAAAAAGGTTTAGGGTTTAGGGGTTAGGGTTTACGGTACCCATAGGCTCCATAGTAGTTCCTGTTTGGGGTTCATATTTCGAATCCTATAACGTAACCCCCAAAAAGGAACTGCTATGGAGCCTCTGGGTAGAGACATCTTAAGGAAGTCCTATAATTCGGGTCCTTGTTACGTTTAAAATCAAGGGGTGCTGTTGGGAACTACACAGACCTCTGCATCGGCAAGCTGCGAAATCAATGTGTTTCCGGTTGAGGGGTATAGAAGACACAACAGTTTGCCAGGAAAGTGGCTGGAGTGCCCTTTCTTCCGCGGGGTCAGTACTCGGGGATACTTTGGAAATCTTCTTCACACCAAATCATAGGGATCCTTAGGGGTGTAGAGGGGAGGGGTGTAGGGGACTATATTTCCTTAAATAGGCCTTATTAGTCCTTATTATGGGCCTTAAGGCCCCCTACCCCCCCTCCCCCTACACCCCTAAGGATCTCTATGACCAAAGCTAACATGCTGCGCCTTGCAAGCAAGTGACTCCTTGAAACCGGTTTCTGAGGATTTCTGATTCGTGGCTCGTGTGTCTGGAGTTCCAGGAAGTATTGGTTCAGAGGTTTGTGAATACCCCACAAAGGCTAGGGCGTAGGGCTACCTTAAACCCCGTCCTAGGGCATAAACGGATCCGACAAAAATCGAAGGCTGATGCACATGTTCAGAGTTTCGTGTATACAGGTTCAGGCGCATCGTCTTCGGGAGCTGACACTGGACTCGGTTGTCAACATAGCCAGATAGCATGTAGTGTCATCCCCCAGTACCTAACCTGTACAGGAATCCCTTTTGGGTCTCAGTATCTCCAATCTTCTGGCTGCAAGGACTCTTAGGAGTCGTACAGACCGCACTCCCTGAGTAAGCTACAAGCCCTCCGCCTAAAGCCGAACCCTGAACCTAAAGCCCAAGAGCCTGAACCTCAAGAGCCTCAGCTGAAGCCCAAACCCCACCGCCTCAACCATAAAACCTTAGCTGAACCCTAAACCCTGAACCCAAAACTCTGCTTCAACCCCAATCTCTACAGCCTCGAAGCCCTAAACCTTACCTGAACCCTAACCCTAAACCCAGAACCCTAAACCCAGAAACCCTAAACCTCTAAACCCTAAGCCCTAAACCGTAAATCCTACCCTGTCGGGGCGCTTGTCAGGGTGCCATTGAGCCAGCAGCTGTCTGACGCAGCGCTTCTGCCTCAGGGTTCCCTTGGAGGTTCAGGGGTAGTTACTAGTAGGGATCATAGGGGCCCTTTAAAGGGATCTATAGGGATTCTATAAGGGTATAGGGTTTAGGGTTCAGGGGTAGTTATAAGTAGGGTTATAAGTCCCCTAATATGGGTTATAAGTATAGTTAAGTCCCCTAGTATGGGTTATAAGTATAGTAGGGTTTAGGGTGTTTAGGGTTCATATAGGGTTTATAGGGTTCAGGGTCTGTGGTTTAGGGTTTATAGGGGGTTAATTAGGCTGGGCTTAGGGTTTACGGTTTATAGGGGCTTAGGGTCTAGGGGCTGTAGGGCTTTGGGTTTAAGGGTTCGGTGGCTGATGTAGGGACCTGCATCATTCGACGAGGATTTGTTTGGCGGGGTTATGATACTGCCACCTCGACTATACGCATATAGCGGATGCAATGATGTACGAACATTAGTACGGAGAGGAAGCAGAAGGGGTTCGAATTCTGCGGATGAACCATATTTCGACTGTTTCCTGCACTGGCTACATGTTCTGTGCTCGCAGCTGTCCAGAAGCCACGAACCAAACTCTCCAGGCCCGCGGCCAGTCCAACCAGAACAAGTCATTGATCACGGGGGAGTGTCCGCAAATAGGGGACCCTAATATAGTACCCTAAAAAGTAGAGTCCTTATTATCAGCACCCCAACAGAAGGTACCCCATTGTCGGAAACTCCCACATTGCCAGTCCGAAGTGGACAGCTCATGTACAGGACGACACATATACGAAGGTCCGGTGCAGCGTTGGAACTTTGGGTCTGCATGTTTTCGGACTTCGCGCGTAAGAGGTCTACTCCCCCAAGGCTCCATGTACCCATATAGTAGAAAACTTAGGCCTTAAAGTACCTACATAGGACCCATTTGAGGCCTAAGTACCTATATGGGTACATGGAGCCTTTGGGCTATGGGTGGTGCTGAGGCGCTCGAGTCCCGAAAGTGTGAGTTCAGACTTCAGGGTTAATACAGACGCCTCAAAAAACAACCTAGGGTTCCCAGAAAAGGGATCCCGAAAGGGGTCGAAAAGGGACTTATCAAGTAGCTGCCTATGCTGTTTTGGGGGTTCCTCATTATGGGTCTATAAGGGATCTACTATAATAGGGTTCTGTATTCGGATCCTAAATAACTACCTATACACTATTTTGGGGGTTCCTTCTTTTGTTTGACTATGGTATAATAAACCCCAACCCTGTTCGAATCATAAATGGCCCCTCTATTACAGTCGTTCGATCCAGCGATGCGTTGCATCCGTTTGTTCCAAAGACACAAACCCGAAGGGTCCTATGTACTGTTATGTGGGATACTTCCCCAAATCATAATTGTAATTCCTAATAAAGAAAGCCTACATTCTACTATAAAGGTACTTTGGACCCTTTGGGAAAGACTCCAACATCTTGTAATTACGGCGTTTAAGTCTTCGGGCTTCTGGGTCTACGTATTGGGTGCAGGGCTTCTGGGGTTCGGGTGTTATAAAATTTAAGTCTGGGTTGACGAGATAGTTTCTGCGTGCAACACTCTTCCTTGCAACGAAGCCGAACTTCCATCTTGCTGCCCCACAAGCCCCCAACCCTATCCCAAGCCACTAAAGGCTAGACCGGAGAAACCTGAAAAAAGTTGAAGTGTAGTAACTGTAGTACCCTTGAGGACCTAACGCCCTTGAACGTACTGCGCCAGGACGAAAGTTCGTCGCATCCGGTAGGTCCGCTAACACATACTTGCAAACCCCTTTCCCCCATAGACTCCTTCACGAAGTGGCAATGTCAGGCCCGGGCCTCACTAATTCCTCCGTCGGAACAAAAAAACAGTGTTTGTTCATTTTGGCATGGAAATTCCTCCGCTAGCCAGGCCACGTAAAATGCACTTCTTCGTACTCCGAGTCCTCCGCCAAGCAAAGACATCTTAGTGCGACAAAACTTTCATCCTGCTGATGTATACCCTAAACCCTAAGCCCTAAACCCTAAAAGATACACCCTAAACCCGACACCCTAAACCCTGAACCTGTATCCCAAAGCCAAGAACCCTCAACCCTAAACCCTCAACCCTACACCCTAAACCCGTATCCCAAAGCCAAGAACCAGGCCGCTCCCGGAACCCTTACAAGCCGCGTAACAAAGCCGGAACTCCGAAAAAATCGAACTCGTTCCGAAACCCTCATTTAGAATGAAAACTTCTATAAACCCTCAAGACCCCCAAAAAAGTAAAACCTTCAACTCCACACCCCGAACCTGTTCCTACACACTAAACCCCCTAACTGTAAAACCCTAAACCCCAAAATCCTAAAACCTTAAAACTCCAAAGACTAAAACCCCAAAAACCCCAAAACCCTAAAACCCTAAAACTCCAAAGACCCGCAAACCTTTTTCCCTGTCCAGCGACTCATCCATCGGCAAACCCGGGTCTTTGGCCCAACTTAACAGCTGGGACCGGATGCCGCTTTTGATGTCCTAGGGTCGGGTCTATAGAGTTTAGGGCCTCTAGGGCATTTAGGTTTTAGGGTTTATGGGTTTAGGGTTTAGGGCTTATGGGTTTAGGGTTTAGGGTTTAGGGTTTAGGTTTTAGGGTTTAGGGTTTATGGGTTTAGGGTTTAGGGTTTACTTTAGGGCTTATACAGAGCTTCGAGGGGTTAGGGTTTATGGGTTTAGGGAATCCTCGCAAGACTGAGATTCAGGGTCAGAGCTCATGGCTCGTTTTTTGTTTAAACGTGGTGGTGGTGCCAAGTGTACGTTGAATTCTTATCTTCTCACATTAAGAGTCTTATGTCTGGTTTTGGCCGGCTCAGGTTCAAGGTTCGCGCTTGGGGCCGCTGTGGTCCGTGGCAGTTGATCCCTGCTGGGCAAGCTGCCTTGTAGCGAATGTAGAAATCTGCTCAAAACCCCTTCTTTGTGGGCTCTACTTGGAGGTTCAGGGGTAGTTATAAGTAGGGTTATAAGTACCCTAATATGGGTTACCCTACCTATAACTACCCTTGAACCTCCAAGTAACCCTTTCTCTGACCCTGGGACCTAAAGGCCTCCGAGCTCAGATCCCGAAGCCCTGACACTCTACACTTAAGCGTGAAATCAAGAAACTAACCCATTCCCCATGTCCACCCGACCCCCAAATAATTAAGAACAAAGCACCTCAGTGATGGTTCATGACTGTAGCAGTCATAACCATGACGACAAACAAACAAACTAACAAAAAATGGCGTGGCGCCTTGATCTCCTCGTCCGACTCCTCGTCGACAGACGCTTCTGGAAGCCTCTTTGGGGAGGTCTGGGCCTCGAGCACGCATAGGCTTCAGGGCTCTTATCGGGTGTGTCAAGGGTTGCTGGTTTAGCCGTTAGGCTTTACCGGTTTCGGTGTAGCAGGACTTGGGGACTTGGGGTGGAGGGTTTGAGGCCTTAGGGTTTAAGGGTTTGGGGTGTAGGGTTTAGGCGTTTACGGTTGTGGGAGTACGGGGTCTTATTACCTTCTGTCATCGGGGCTTCATGTTTTGGCAGGCTTCAACGGTGTTTATGGGGCCGTATAGCAATAGTAGAGTTTCAATTTAAAGTCTAACTGTGCACCGTATGGTGCTTATAGTTGGTGAGAGATGACCATAAGCCTCAGAGGTAGAAACCCTACACCCGAAAACACAAACCCCTAAATCCCCAAATTCTGCTGTTCTGAAGCTATGGTGTGGATTGCCCCAAGGATCCATGTATCGAAATAATATATACTTTGGCCTTAAAGTAGTCCCTATTTAAATACTGTAGGGCCGATGTATACACTGTTTGAGTTTGACTATTTCGGTACATGGGCCCTTACACCCTAAAACCTCAAGCCCTCATAGAACCCTTATGGTAACCCTTGAGGAACCCTTAAAGGATCCCTACTTGGATATATATATATAGCCGTTGGGTGCTAACGGGGTTTTCTGCGTGAAGCTGACAAGGCGGGTTGAGAAGTAACGGCCCGAAGCCAGGCAGCTCGATGATCGACACGGCACTATGGGGCAACTAACAGGGGTTTAGGGTTTAGGGTATAGTGGGTGTAGTGTATAGGTGTGTTGGCGAATTTGGGGCTTGAAATAGTAGCACTTAAGAATTTAGGGTTTAGGGGTCTCGGGGGGATCGGAATTGTGTTTGGGGTATAGCAGTAGCTGCAAGCTACTGCTTGAGAACTATAGTACAAGGGCCTTCACAATTCGAATAGGTTGAGTTGAAGCACACTACAGGTATACTGTATCTATCTTGAAACTGCGGCAATGCTGATGCAATAATAATAATAACAAACTATTCCGACCGTTGCATTACTTGGACCTTTAAAAGCACAGGTCAGGAATCGCAGTGGCCTTGGCATCCGGAACGTCCGAGTCTGCCTCCTCTTCCTCCTCCTCATCTTCGTCCTTCGAGGTTTCGGATCTACATTAGAACGGTTTAGGATTTTTTCGGGTAGAAGTTACGGTAAAAGCCTTAACCCTGCAAAAGCTGCAACTCATCACCTTTAGGCCTTCGGGACTTTGCTGGTCTGCGTCTCTTCGAATAAGCTGTGCCTCGGGGCAAGCTCTGAGTCGGATGCTTAAAAACAATCTGGTCGCTCAGCTTGAGTTCTTAGGACCCTTAGAGTGTTTTGGGGTTTGCGAAGCTACGATCGTCGGAAGGGTTAGCAGCATTTGAAACCAAGAAGCCGACAGTGTCGGCCCGGACCCCTTATACCTAACGGAACCCTTCAAAAGAACCCAGAGAGGACCCTTAAAGGAACCCTTGACGGGAAGCCCTTAAAGGTTTGGGGCAAGGGTGCGGGGTTTAAGGTAAGAGGTTTTAAGGGGTTTCTGTTTAGGATGGTTGAGGGTTTCGGTCCGAAACGCTGGCCACAGATCGGGGTACGAGAGCCTTTCTGCCTACTCTTAAGGGCTTATGGTGATTTTTGGTCTACTCCTCAGAGCTTATGGGGATTTTTGGCCTACTCTTAGGCACTTATGGGACTTTTGGTTGTAAGGGTTCAGAAAATTGGTTTTAAGGGTGAGGTTTTTGATGTGGGTTAATGGTGTGTTGGGGTGTAGGTTTGGGCTTCGGGGTAGGAGGCTTCAGGGCATTTTCCCCAAACCCCTAAACTCTGCACCCTCAAACCCTCAACTCTAAATCTGGAACCCTAAATTTTTGGACCTTGTCGACCCCGGCCTTGCCTACGCTGATCCGGTCCTCGCTGGACGCTTTTGCTTCGGCGAGCTCAACGGGCACACACCTCGGAGAGCAATCTCAAGCACGCCCCTACCAGCATCTCCAAACCCCTCTTTTCTATGGCCCAACCATGGCTTCTATATTGGGCCTGTATAGGGCATGAAGGCCTAGCGATTCAGGCTGCGACGGTTATGGCACTGCGACTCAACCGCCCACCCTAACCTCTAGGCCTTATAACGGGGTCTTTGCACTGCAGTTGGCCCATCCCTAATGACACACCTTTGGTGCCCTCCGAAAAAGCTAACACAGGGGCCCGTCTAGGGTTTGGGTTTCAGTCAGTATTCAGGCTATTATAAGGAGATTGCAAGTGTCTTAAAGTCTTATGACGAGGTCTGCATGGGTTCGACAAGGCATCATATGCAGTGATGGTAAAGCTGGTAAGGCCGAAATATAAGACTAGAGTCTTCGGATACGCGATAAAACTGATGCCGGGGGCGGGAAGGATGCAGTCACTAGTTGCAACCTATGTTGGTTGGTTGGTGAGTTCACTGGCCCCGAAAAGGAGTAGCCTTCTCATCACGGTGAACAGGACTAAACCACGAAAGCCTAAAGCTCCAAATTATCGGTTCAAGCCTTTCTACTGAGCTAAACGGAAGCCTAAACCTACGCCCTGAACCCCAGTTGTGTAGTCAGCTACACCAGATGTGCCGGGGTGCGAGGCAGCCACATCTTCAACCTCGTAGTCTCCACCTCAATCGATAAATCGAGACTCCGCAGGGATCACGGCATTAAGGTTTAGGGTATGTTTGAAGTTTGTGAGTTCAGAGATTAATAAGTGTTTGGGGAGGGTAAGTGGGTTTTAAGGTTTAGGGGTTTGGAGTCGAAGCGCTCAATGCTTTTATGGAATTAAAGGACATCCAACGTAGAATGGTCTCCGGGATTTGCGTTCGAAAAGGGTGTAGCCCTCCACGAACGGCCCAAGGCCAATTCCCACCCCGGATACATGGCATAAAGGCTGTTTACCATTGGGCATTACTAATTAACTTAAAAGTCTAAATACAGATTCGGACAAACTGCCCAGCATATCCAACAATAAAGCAAGACAAGAATCGCTTCAACTGTCCCCGCTAAATCCTGACCCTACCCCCGACCATATGGTAGTCTCTAGTGTAGTTCCCTTTTGCGGGTTTCCTTATAGGATCCCGAATGCAAAATGTCTCAAACCAACAAAGTAGCTGCGATGCAGACTATATGCAATGTAACTCCACCACAACCCATGGGCTCCAAGTATACAAGTAGTACCTATAGGTTGGGGTCTATCTAAAGTCTACAAATAGTACTTACTTTGGGCTATTTGGAGCCCCCCCCAAAAAAAGCCACTTCAGGTCCGGCGCCCTGAGCCCTAAAATCTAAGCCTCCGAATCCCAAACCCGGGCACCCAAATCCCCACCAACGCCTGCAACAACCCCGCACAAAGCCTCTCTAAATCCTAAACCAAACATCCTTCCAACCCTAAAGCCTAAACCCTAAGCCCGAAATCCTAAACATCCTAAACCAGCCCTAAAGCCTAAACCGTAAGCCCGCAATCCTAAACCAAACATCCTTCCAATCCCTTCGAGGCACCGCGTCGGAGACCGCCCTGGCGCCGCTGCGCTCGCGTGGCGCGCTGCACCTGCCGAGCTAAGGGTTTAGGGTTTAGGGGTAGTTCTGGATATTTAGGGTTTACAGGATTAGCGGCGTTACCTGATAGGCTTCGTTTGGATTTCCTAGTTTGGTTACCCTTGTAGGACCCTAACTAGATGAAGTCGGTTAACAAAGGACAAGAATGGAGACTATATAGGTTTTAAGCAGCAAGGCTTGAAGGTTCAGATTTTAGGGCTTAGTTTTCGGGTTTTGAATCAGCCATGAGGAGCTGAAAGCCCTTCGATTTGGGAATGCATGCCCACCCAAGTCGCAGATAGACCGACTCGAACTGCTCCAGAGCTATCCTGAATTACCACCCCCCACCTGCCATCTTTGCTTGCATCTATAATATGGATGTAGATATGTAGATGTAAAGACATAGATAGATAGAAAGATACATTCTACACCAAACGTAACTCCAAAGCGATGCGGACAGACCCACACCTAAATCCTGAATGCCCCCCTAACTCCTATTTCCTTAATATCTCAGCGAATGGGTCTTTTATGGGCCTTTGTCGTATACGAGCCTTAATGTCATCGGCGGTCAAGCACTCAATACTGCCAGCCAACGTACCCAACAGACGGCTCTAGGTTTGGACTCTCGAAAAATACGATTTGTGTACTTGGACTTTTGGGGGAACCCGAACCCTTACAGACCCCAGAGCATTCAAACATAAAACCCTTGAGGCCCTAGATGCCTCCATGCTGAAGCGCGATAGCTCTGAACCCTAAACCTTTCCCAATCCGTTACGGGGAGGAGCTGAGTATCCTAGCCCCCTGAGTACCCCTTGATGAGAAATGTCAGAGCCAGAGACTCCAATATCCCTTAATTAAGGAATATTCCTTAAATCATAATAGGGATTCTACTATATAATTCAAGGTATACTCTTTAATTCCTTTATAGATTCCTCATAGACCCCGTTCAGGAACCCTCTAAGGAACCCGAATGTACATTCCTTATTTAAGGGATATTGGAGTCTCTGGGGAGCCCCTTAGAAGGTACTTGGGGTGTCCTGGTCCGCCCCTTAGTTACAAGGAGTGGCAGGCCTCATGGACCCTTACACCTTAAACACAAATAGAGCCCTTACATTATTACCTTACAGTATCTATAGTCTCCATTGTAGTTCCTTTTCTGGTTAAAAAGTTTTATGGTTAATATCCTATAATGGAGCCCTTCTTGGAGGATCATGGGACTTAGTAAGTAAGGTTATAAGTACCTTAAGTGGGGTTATAAGTAGTTATAAGTATAGTTACCCTAGTATTGACCTTAGTTACTAAGTCCCATGGTCCTTTGAGTTATATTACCTTACAGTGACCCTTAAAGGAGCCTTCAAGGATCCCAACCCTTAAGGGCTAAGTTACAGGGAGTGGCAGGCCTCCTTCTTGTCGGATCCGTTAACTTCCCGCGCTTCCTTTGGCTGAGGCATGCTCTCTCTTCTTCAACAACCGGGCCCTAACAAGTTCAAACTTTCTAAGAAAGAGCTGATATATAAGGCCAAAAGTTTAAAGTTAGCCCGTTCGCTACCTAAGACAGCTGAGGCTCACCGTACGCCTAGGGGACCTAGGAGGGCTTATGAAGGACTTTATCGGACTTTTCAAGACATCGAATTTAGGGGTTAGGGGTTTAGGGCTTTAGCTTCTAGGGGTAAGTCATAATGGCTCTTCCAGGTTGTTAAAGGGCCTCACTTTCAACGATCTTCACGGATCAGCTGTTTGACCGGGTTATCGGACTTAGTAAGCATGGTTACAAGTACCTTAATTGGGGCCCTAAGTAATTATAAGTGTAGGCGCCCGCATCATATCCCTAGTAGTTACTAAGCCTCATGATCCTCCAAGTAGCTACCTATGAGTGCACCTGCATGAAGGATGAACAGTGGTGGGCTTCGCTATAATTTATTGTACTTCAGGATAGTGTTGTTCCAGTTCCTGACTTTCATTCTACTTACAGTGCATCTTGCACTGTATGTTGGCATCAGCCTCTGAAGCGTCTCCACCTGGATGGTGATGTCAAACCTTCGGCCAGCTGTGTCTTCGTGTCCAGAACCATACCTATAGTCTCCAGTGTAGTTCCTTTTTTGGTTAACCAGTTTTATGGTCAGGATCCTATAATAGAGATTTTGGTGAACCGAAGCAAGAAACTACAATGGCGACTATAGGTAGTCCTTCTCGATGAGAAGAACTCCCGGTGTCGTCGATTCTACCGCTTTGCAAGCGGAAGCACAGCAGCAAGGCACGTAAGAACAACTCGTCTCTACATTTGCTTCCCTAACAAACCCGACAGCCAAAATCCAACAAGACGCGTCATGAAATCTTAAACCTTGCGTCCGCGAGTCCCAAACTCCGTGCACAGCCTGTCGTCTGGTAGAGGCTGTTTAAGGACCTCCTCAAGGGCCTTCCTTCTTTGCCGCTCCTGGTGCCATTCGGTGCGGAGGGTGTCCACCTGCTTGTTCCGATGCTCCAAAGGCAGTCACATGCCTTGTTGTGCAATGCCGCTGTGACGTCTACCTATATTCTCCACTGTAGCTCCTTTTTTTGGGTAACCAAAATCTCTATATTGGGATCCTAACCATAAAACGGGTTAACCAAAAAAAAGGAACTACAATCGAGACTATAGGTAGCATCTGTTCCTCCCGAAGAGCGAGGCCGCAGGCCTGGCGACGGACCAACGCCACCCAGGTCGCCACCCTGCTTAAACCCCAATTCTTAGGTACTTATAACCTTACTTACTAAGTCCCATGATCCTCCAAGTGTCCACCTGTGCCATTGCCACTGCCCCAGCTGCTTGCACAGTGCAGCCGAGACATTAAGCCCTGAATCGAAAACCGCACCACACCAATCCTGAATAATGAAAAAATCAGATGCCCTGAAAGTGTATCCCAAGTCAGACAACGGAAACATTAAACCCTACCATAAGCCGCCGGTTTAAGGTTTGGGATTTAGGGATTTAGGGCAGGTTGATTGATCCGTCCGGTACGATGGGTTCTGCCTAGGAATACCAGGTTACAGGCCTGTGGCCCAGTTCGTAAACCCTCCAACGCCCAAACCCCAAACCCACAAAAAGCAACAGCGCTTAACCCGAAATAAACACTGTAAGCGCCAAAAAGGTTACGCCTAAACCCGTCGATCGAAACCCCACAGCCGTTACCAATGAGAATCTTATAATGCACTAGACCATAAACTTTTACGGAACGGTATTGCTTTTCATGTTTCTCTTCCACACACATCACCCCCCACCCGCCTAAACCCTTACCCAGACTCTCTACCTCTCTCTCTATCTCTCTTTCTCTCACCCGCCTAAACCCTAAGTAACGCCCTAAACCTCAAACTCTCTACCTCTCTCTCTCTCTCTATCTCTCTCTCTCTCTCTCTCTCGCTGTCTCTCTCTCTCTCTCTCGCGCCCTTCTCTCTCTCTCTCTCGCCCTTCTCTCTCTCTATCTCTCTCTCTCTCTCTCTCTCTCTCTCTCTCGCTGTCTCTCTCACAAGACCCTGAAACCTGATCGCGCGGCCTTCTTCTTCTTCCCGCGGCTGGCGCTCGGCCTGAGTGTCACAGGGCCTGTAAAGTGCCACTTGGGACCTTGGAGTTTGGAGTTTAGGTTGTTTTTTAAAGTGCAATGGCCATCTTTCTGTGCATGAGAGTTTAGGGTTTAGGGGCTTGGGACTTTGGGTTTTAATTAGAGGTGATGTAGATCATAGCTTGAGGCTTGGCAGTTGTAAGGGTTCCGCTTGGGCTAAAGTTTGGGGCTTTAGGGTTCTGTAGGGCTTAGGGCCTATACAGTTCCGGGTTTATACAGGGTTTAGGGTCTTTGTTTCGGGGTCATGTAGGGTTTAGATTTAAGAACATGTAAGGTTTAGGTTTGAGAACGTTTAGGGTTTCCTTGAAAAAGGGGAAGGATTTCGCATGGGCCTTCTGGGGTGTTGAAATACAATGGCCTGGGGTTCTATAAGGAAAGGTTCTAACAAGTTATGCGGTTTCTACAAGGACTCTATAGTACGTACAGCCACAGCCATGCTTAAGAAATCATTGGTTCAAGAGATTGAGCCCCGGCCAGCAGTGCGACAGAACATCTGAACACAAAATGCGCAAATTGAAAACAAACGAAATCCAGCGGTGCCTTGAAATCGGCGAGTCCATTTATAGGTTTATTCTCTTCTCCATTTGTATTCGCTGGCTTTGATCGCTCAAAAAAAGGTTCTATAGTTTTAAGAGATGACTGACGAGGTTTACAGGGTATAAGACTTCTTGCATAGAACATGTCAAAAAGGCAGAGGGGTGCATGGCTTAGTGTCTGAAGTGAAGTGTACGGTTCAGGGCTCAAGGTTTGGACTCCACCAGGCTTACAAAAGTCAGGGTTTAGAGGAGCGTTGCTACCTATAGGGTCCATGTACCCAAATAGTATATAATATATACCTTGGCCTTAAAGCAGTCCGACCCTTAGGGTTAGGGTTTAGAGGAGCGTTGTTAGCTGAGGGGTTCGGGGTTTGTGTTGCAGACTGCAGCGTTCACGGTTGAGACGGTTGCAGGTCGGATTGAGACGATAATTTGATCCGGGGCTTTATCGGGCCCGCGGGGTTTGTGGTACTGGTACATCCTTACCCTTACAGTAGGGTCCTACCAAACACTCAAGACCCCAAAACCCAAAACGCTTAAGCCCTATAACCCTTGAACCCTATAAGCCCTAGGCCCTAGACTCTGAATCCTGAATCCGGATGAAAGTAGGCCCCCAACTCGGCGAACATGTCCGCGGAGCACAGCAGGCCAGTATGGCGCTCAAGGCTGCAGAGAGCCAAACAAGCCCAACAACAGGAAGTCTAAATCCTTAACCCTAAACCCTAAAACCTAAACCAGTCTTAGTGTTTAGGGCTTGGGGTCCGCACTGCACTCCAAACATTCCAAAGTTTGGGAGTTACCTACTATAGTCTCCACTATAGTTCCTTTTTGGTTAAACAAGAACTCTATTATAGGATCCTAAGCATAAAACTGGTTCACCAGAAAATGAACTACAATGGAGACTGTAGGCACACAGGGCCTGCGAGGGTGGAAGACAACCGCGGGGCTAAAATCCCTGTGGGAGCAAAGACCCGTTGTCTTTGTTGGAGTCTTGCTCTGTGGGCGTTGAGGTTGACATTAAGACCAGCTTTGCAGTCTCCACGGTTTAGGGTTTAGGGTTTTGGGTTTTGGGTTTAGGGGGGGTTTCAGGTTTGCGGAGGGGCTGAAGCATTTAGGCAACGGCTTCTTCAATGCTGGATAGCTGTGAAATTGTGAGTTTCTCGGCTGGGCCAATCGTTCGAGCCCAAATGGCCACGAGACACTACCTACAGTCTCCATTGTAGTTGCTTTTTTGGTTAACCGGCTTTATGGTTAGGATCCCATAATAGAGATTTTGGTTAACCAAAAAAGGGAACTATACAATGGAGAACATAGGTAGACTGTGAGCCGAAATGCTGAAACCCTAAGCCTGACGAAACCCTGATGCTTGAAACCTAAATGGCCCTAGAACCTAAACCCTCCCTAACGTGCGCCTCAAATCGGGAATACCAACTTTTTAGGATCAAACTAAGGGAGCCGAAACCTCAAGCACTCAATCCTGAACCCTATAAACCCTACACACCCTAAACCCCAAACCCTGAACCCCAAACGCACCCCTCAACCCTAGACCGTGGCTCGCTCGACTTTGATGGGTATAGTTGCTGCCGGGTGCCGGCGCGTTCCGAGGCATCATGTCGATAGGGAGTGTTCAGAACATGCTGGTGTGGTTGCATATAGGAGGTCCAACTGTCAGCAAGCTGCTTCGCGTCGCTTCTTGATCATGCCATGATGTCATACATAGGGGCCTTTCGGTAGTAGTTTTGGGCATTTTCGTGCAAGTAAATGCTAAGAACTAATGTCAACAATATTAATGATGATTCGGGTGCCTCGGTTTTAACGGATCTATGGCATAATGTACAGGCCTGCAACGTACAAACGTCGTCAAACACACTCCAATGCTACGTGCTGTTGATATCATCACCTAAGGGTCCATTTACCCAAATAGTATATACTATGGCACTGAAATGTTTGAAAGCGGACTACTTTAAGGCCAAAAAACGGGTAGGGGTAGTTCTCCAAAGTAGGACAGGTCCCCAAAATAGTACGGCACTCTCATAGAAAAGGAACCTAAAGGGGACCCTAGTATAGAGAACTACCCATATACCCAGAGACTCCAAAACCCCTTAATTAAGGAATATACCTTAAATCATATTAGGGATCCTACTATAATTTAAGGTATATTCCTTAATTAAGGGGTTTTGGAGGCTCTGGGTACTAGTTGCATACATGGGCCCTTCGGGATTGATCATTGCCGCTACGGACTTCGGAGATTTGGCTCCCCTTCGCAATGCACATTATAGTACATTATAGTGTATTGTAATTCATATGATGGTATGTCTAAAAGAAAAGGCATAAAGTTTTAAGGCTTATAGCTCTGCTCAAAAATAAGTGCCATCCGAGCTCATGTCAGCACGGAGGAGCCAGCATTAACCGTAACCTGCAACCCCGAAACCCTAAATCCCAAACCCAAAACGTCGGGCTCCTTCACATGATTTCCTTATGCATGTCTTTAAGAGCTAAGCTTGGCAGGATTAGGGTGCAGCTGCAACCCATTCAACCATAAGCCCCAGAGACTCCAATATCCCTTAATTAAGGAATATACCTTAAATCATATTAGGGATCCTACTATAATTTAAGGTATATTCCTTAATTAAGGGATATACCTTAAATCATATTAGGGATCCTACTAGAATTTAAGGTATATTCCTTAATTAAGGAATATACCTTAAATCATATTAGGGATTCTACTATAATTTAAGGTATATTCCTTAATTAAGGGATCTTGGAGGCTCTAGGGCCGCCTGCCAGCTCCGGTTTTCCGATCACCCTCGGCGAAAACTCATTCAGAGGAGCCTAGCGGCTCGAAATCCGCGGGAAGGTTTAGGGTTTAGGGTTTAGGGTTTAGGGTTTCAGCTCCATGCTGGAGTTGGAAGACTGCCGACCCCTCGTAGTTAGGCGCATCTTGAGATTCGGAGGTATGCGAGGCGGCTTGGGATTCATGCTATACGGTAATAGCTCAGGAGTAAAGCCATGCCAGCACAAGGGGTCACAGCCTAATACACTGGGTTCCCCAGTAGCCTCTTCGTCCTTAGTGTTCCGCTTGGTTTTGCGATGCGCTCGGCCCTCAGACCACACGCACCCCTTGCTCCTACTATTTGGTTTTAATACGGGAGCCCACCGAGAAAACAGGCGAAAGGGTAGTACTGGGGAACCTAGTAACCTAGTACATGGTGATCTTCTTGTTCTTCGTCTTCTCACGCATTCGTCGCTTGGTCTCCCTGAGAGCCTCAGGCTCAGGGCATCGGCAGTTGTTTCTGTGGGGTTTAGGGTTTAGGGGAAGCGGCAGCATGTCTCTCATAGTGATATACCTTGGGCACTGGCCCCATGCAGCAACAGGCCGCAATGCGATTAAGGGCCGCCTTATATATCTGCACTATAAATATGATTCAGCTGTTACTGGGTGGGGCCAGTATCCAAGATATACCCCAAACCCTACAACTTAAACCCCCTAAACCTTAAACCCTAAACCCTGAAAACTCAGTCAGCTCTTGCCTACTTGGACCCTTGCATAGGAGCTTCCGACTCGCTGTTTCAGGCTATGGCACACTCCCTAAGGCCTCAAGTAACCGTATAGTAGATACTTAGGCCATATTAAGGTACCTATTTAGGGGCCCCTTTAAGGCCTAAGTACCTACTATATGGCTACATACTCCTCTCTTCTGATGAAAACTTAGGGTTTAGGTTCTGTTCCATGTTTCCAGCACTCCTGATTCAGCAAAAAGTATGGCTCATGTGGACGATAAGATGAACACCAAATCTGACCACGAGCCCCAAGTTCACTTCTACTTGAAGGCTCATGGGACTTAGGAAGTAAGCTCACGAGTAGGACATAATTAGGAGAATCCCGCTTCGGGGACTTGTAACCCCAATTACAACCTAAGTCCCACGATCCTCTAAGTAGTAGTACATCAGAAGTACCGGTGAAGCTGACTCGTGGGGTACTAATAATACGAGGGTCTGAGTAGTTGCGCTTATCATTCGAAGGCGTACTACTAATATTACTAGGGACCCAGGCGGGTATGGCATGACTGAGCCTTTCGCGGCAGCCTCAAGACCACCCCCAGGCCCTAAAACCTAAACCCTACATCCTAAACCGTCAAAACTTCAAAAGCCAAGTCAAAGACTTGCTGCACCCCAGCCGTCTTTTAGCGGACCTCAAAGGAAGACGCCAAAATCCGAACTTTCAACCCTGCCACACCGGTGAACCTAAACCCTAAACCCTATATACACCCTAACAGCCTGAGCCCTAAACCCCTGAACCCCTACAGCCTGAACCCTTAAGCCCTAAAAACCCTGAACCCCTACACCCAAAACCCCAAAGCCTTAAAGCCCAAACCTCCACACCCTGAACCTCTAAGCCCTAACACACTAAAAACCCAAAACCCTAAATCCCTGAACCCTAAACTCTAAGCCCCTACGCCCCTACACCCTAAACCCAGGCTTGCTGTCGGCTGGCCTGCTCGCGCTTCTCAAGCTCTTTTTCGCGGCCTTCTCGCCTGACGACACACCCTCAGACGACGCATACATATAAAAAGCTGTATATATCTGCACATATGTATATATATATATACACACACACGCACACACGCATTCTTTTGGTGTGTGTAACTGTACTGCGCTTCAGGGCTGGGGGTTTCGACCTTCAGGGCTTTAGACCATAATGACAAGTGTTGGAGTTGCGAGTGCTCGGCCAGTATTTTACAGCGGGCCCAGATGACTTCGCAGTTGACAGTGGGTTTAGGGTTTCGGGGTTTAGGATTTAGGGGTTTTAGGGTTTAGGGTGCGTTTGGAGACGGCTGTTCATACAATGTGATTATTTGGACCTCAGGGGAAATGTGCGCCCTGAAACAACCTGTGAATTACTGTCTGGTTCTTAGTAGGGAATGGGGGAATGTGTGATTGGGGTTACTATGAGGGGCCTTAAGGCACTATCATTGGGATCCATTCCCCCATTCCCTACTAAGAACCAAATAGATTGGTTTTGAGGAGAGGGCATAGGTTGGGTTCAGAGTTCCGGGTTAGGTTTGCAGATTGGGTCGAGAAGGGCTCCCAAGTAATTACTTATGCATTCGTGTTTGGGCCCACAATCGTTTGGGCTCAAGATGGAGTACAGTTTGCACCCTGCACTTCGGGATACCCATACAACAAAACAGTTGCTTTGTGACATTTACGTATATGCAATGGCTGTCTGTGCGATTGCATGTATGTATATATGCATGCATGCATGTACATATGTGTGTATATCTATATACAATAAATCATTTGGTGTATAGATAAAGCAAGGGAGGTGTGTGTGAATGCATGTATGTATGATTGTGCGTTCGGGATCTCGTGGTCTCGACCAACAAAAGTTCATGCCGTCTCCACCAGGACCCTCCTTGTACCCTCAAATAGGGGTATATGGTCCCAAATAAGGGGCATTTAGGGTCTAATAGAGGGTAGATGGAGGGTCTAGGCACTGTTGCTCCCTGTTTTTCTGGGGAACGCACTAGGGCACTAGGTGTCGATTTGAACAGTCCCCAAAACTGTCTAATGAGGGGCTCTAGCAAAAGCAATCGGGGGGATTAATTCCCACATCGATGTTGGGTGC